TCTGAAGGACGGTCACTGGATCTGAAATGTTAATGCTGCTTTCTCTCCACAGATGCTGCCTCACTGGCTGAATTTCTCCAGTAATTTCTACTTGCGTTTCTGATTGCCAGCATCTGCAGTTCTTTGTTATTTGGTTTTCCTCATGTTAATTTAAAACAGTGCCATTCCAATAACTCCACACTTGGCCACATTAAACCACATGTGCTGCATACTGACCCAAAACAGTCAAAGTCTTTTGAATTTCACCATTATGGATGAAATAACAAACATTTGAAATGACAAACAGCACTCAAAAAATGTTAGTCAAAAATTAACTCTTCATGCAATACCTTTTATCAATTATAGAATAAATACAGGTGTGAACACAAGCACGGTTTTATCTTTGAACACACCACAAAATCCAAACTCAAAGCAAAATATATGCATCTGGATTTTTACAAGACAACTGTTCAGTTTTATCTTGAAATCAGTGCAAGAAACAAAAAACACAAATCAAATTAATACAGTTAATTTGTAAATCAGCTTTCAAACTCTTAGAAGCTTGAAATCAGTGCATCTACCTTGTGTTATTTAAAGGTCGTACCTGAGAGATATCTTCCAGGACGGCTTTGTAAAGTTTCTGTACTGTGTAGGCATGCATTTCAACACTATTTGTGATCAACTGGATCAAATTGGGCACGGCATCATCTCTTACATAACTGCCAGCCTAAAATGGAAGCATGGAAAAATTAAGGACCATTGTAACAATAGTGATCATAGGGGAAAAGAAAAAAAAAACAAACAAACACAGTCTTTAAACACAACAATAACTTAAGACTGTTTTCCACTTTCCATGCTTGACCGCTCAGCGAGAACTACAGGAGTGAAGTAGGGAGGCTGAGAGAGAGAGTGTGATGGTGTTTCAGAGCAAGAGCACAGATGATAAAATTCAGTTGGAAATCTATGATGGCCATTGCAACCTCGGAGCTTAATTTCCTAGATTTCAGTTTGCCATCCCACCTGGGGTCCCGACCTCCACACTGGGAAGTTCTAACTTAAAATATTTGAGACAAAAATGACATTTTATGGTAGTCCCAAAGTCTGTCCATCATCAAAAGGTATAAGTCAGGGGTATGCTGAAAAACTCTCCATTTGCCATGCTAAGTTAAGCTCCAATATCTAAAACTCAACACTATCCAGGAGAGAGCAAGTCACATGACTGACATCAATCCAACATGTTTAGCATTCACGCCCTCCACCATTGGTGCACGGTGGCAGCAATGTGCACCATATAAAAGGTATGCAGTATAGCAACTCATTATTTCTTCCTCAATAGCACCTTGCAAACTTATCCTTCTAGGTGGCAGAGATCACAAGGGTACTAGACTCATGGGAAAGCCACTGCAAGCTCCTAATCAAGCTGATTCAGAACTCTGTGTCTATTCCTTTCATGTTGCTGGGTCAAAATTATGAGAGTCCCTTTCCAACAGTACTGTGCATTACCTACAGATAAAGGGCTGCAGTGGTTCGAGACAGCAGCTCATCACTCCACCTTCTCAAGAGGAATCATAGATGGGCAATAAACTGGCCAAGCCAGTGATGCCCACAACACATGAAACAACAGTGAAGCACCATGAAAACTTCAGGCATAGAAAGCATTCTATCCCATAACAAACCTTTTTACACTACATGAGAACAAATATGCTTTGTCTTCTGAATTACCAAACCTTCAAATTTAAATTTTCAGCATTGTATACAGTCCTTTTGTGATCCGCCTATCTCTATCCATTTCCAGCCATTAAAAAAAAAATCAAAGAACACAAGTTTCTGAAATCTGACCTCGCCGATTTCCTCTTTCCACCACCATTGTCATTCATGCCATCAGGCAACTAGGTCTTCAGATCAGAAACTGTTCCCTAACAGAATCCCTACATTCTACAGTAGGCCATTCAGCCCATCGAATCCACACTGACCCTTCGAAGAGCATCCTACCCAGATCCCATTCCCACCCCTGCAATCCCACATTTCCCATGGCTAATCCACCTGGGCTGCACATCCCTGGACTGTGGGAGGAACCTGACAGACACTGGGAGAATGTGTAAACTCCATACAGACTGTCGCCCAAGGGTGGAATCGAACCCCGGTCCCTCATGCTATAAAGGTAGCGCTGTTAACCGTTGAGCCGACACTCAAGACACTCGTCATACGTCCTAACATCAACTTGTTTAGCTTAGTGCCAATTTTTATCTCGATTATAGTTCAAGAGTGTCTTGGAACCTTTTCCTACGTAGAAATTATATACATGCAAGCCAACTGTTACTGTTAAAAACCACAATAGCTAGGCACTGTATTGTGAAAATGCTACTTTAACCAAATTGAAATTAGAGCGATATCAACAAAAAGGGGCACACAAAGGCAGGGCCTAGGACTGGCCGGTGGATAAACAACTCTTGCAGCAGTCTGAGATCCAGCTGCCTCCATCTGTTCTGTCCTGCAGACACATCTAGGCCAAAGAGAAGTGATTGTAATTTTCTATTAGCACACTATCATTCTACTGCAAAAGAAAAAAATAATTTAATAGCATAGATCATCCAATCAATAGAATTAAGTCCTGGTAACACTTACAGATAACAAGCTGATATGAAATTTAGTTTGGTTTCCACAAAAAGAAGTCATATTGCCATTGTTAAATTAATATTTCCCAAAACAAACACGGTCAAACAAACTTTGATCACAATATTAAATTGACTTTCAGTAATATATAACAGCAAACTTTTCATGTGTGCTTGTATCCATTAATTAAGAGGGCTAACTTTGGAATTTGATGGAATAGAAATAGAGGGGAAAAACACTTGCTATCTGATCCATCAATGCTGAAAAAACTACTTATCTCTTCTATACAGCAGCTCTCACTTTCTTCCAGAGGCCGAGAACAGCCAGTGGTCATGGTAAAGTGTGTGCATTAAAATATTCAGAACTCAAACCAGCAACCCATCTCAGGGGAATGAGTTGGTCATCTCTCTCCCCTGTCCTAATTCAAGATTTAAGAGATTCAAGAGAGTTGGTTCAGGTTTGAAATCTTAAATTTTAAACACCCTACCCAACCAAAAACCACTGAGGGATTAAAATTTCCCTTAATGTGTCAAGGCTTTGAAAAGTCAATGAAAATTTAAATGCTCTTTACTGGTGGAGTTTGAAGGTAAAATGTTTTCCATGCACATCAACCTAGTTTTCAATCTTGCATTTTATTCAGTGACGAAATTGCACATTGTACGAAAAACAAAGCACTTTTCTAGCTAGGGGAGTTTGGGTTTCAAAGTCATCCCTATTTTAACATATTTCTCTATAAGCAGCTGGAACTTGAGATTTAATTCTATGAAACAACACAGATAGCTTACTAAAAACAGTCACCAAAATCTGAGATCTGCTGAAAATAAGATGGTATATAAACAACTTTTTAAACATTATACTGCAAACACATTTAAATGTGGTTAAATGTCTTTATACCATACCCATTAATGCAGAACAGAATTCAGGAGTGTAAAATTTGTGTGATCATCCTGCACATACAATTCAACAATTGAGCTTCAAAAGATTAAAAACGATCTTTCCAGTTTTTCTACTGGATGAAATTCTGTTCAACACCCAAAATTTTCAGTAATTACATCTTTTATGGACTGTCATTATCGAAACAATACATACCAAGTTGTTCTATTTGTGGCATGTCAATTCAAACAAAATGGAGCATCAACTTTCTACTGCAGACCACGTTTACATCTCAGATTCAAATTGCCTTAATTTTAGAAGCTCAAGATATGGTAATCTTTAGTGAATCTATGCCATAAAAACAAGGCCAAACTAACCTGACTGCATTACAGACTCCCCAAGATTGTACTTCTATGCCTACTTCATATGTTTACCTTTTTTGGTTTAAAAGATGCATGTCATGCCTTAACTGCATCCTGCGACAATGCATCCCAGGTCTTTATCATTAAAATGGAATTGAAACTGCAACTTTAAAAAAAAAAAATAGATGAATTAAGGAGATCTTTACATCACAGAGGTTTGGGAAATTAGCAGCCTGAGTTGACAATCCAATATCTAACTCATATATAAAATGAAGAGAAAAGCTGCAGCTTTAAGATGAGACCTCTCTTACCGTTGTTAACACTTTCATTATTGTGTCTATGTGCCATCTCTTGGATGGTGCATACCTGTTTAGAAAAAAGAACGTGATGAGAACATCTTTTCCCGAAATGTTTTGTATTTCTAAGTACTCTGATAGTCGATTGGCAAACACCTTTAAAAAAAAACAAAGGCAATGATAATACTAAAAAAAAGCCTAAAATCATTGGTTTACTGTTGCTTCCTGGTAAAGCAGTTTTAAAAAAAAAAAAATGAGGTGTTCAATAATTAACAAGAAGTTCTAGATATAAAAACATTCATTCATTCTTTGACAGAATCATGATTATACAGTGCCTTAAATGAACCATATATTCAGCATATCTTGAAAATACACCTGATGATACACGGAATAAAAGATCCAAGATTACATAAAATATAGGAATTAAAAGCCCCATAGTGTACTGGGAGAACTGATTACTGCAGCAATTGACGCAAATTTCTCAAATTTATGCAAATAAGTGGTTATATTTTTGATAGTATTTTTTAAAAAGAAGTGCAATGACAACAAATGTTCCAATAAATAAAGTGAACTTCAATCAATAAAATGGAAATAATACCATCAGGCAGCATCCACATGAGAATAAGACTGTTAATCTTGTAGATCAGATGCAAAAGGGATTGAAAGATTGAAAAAAAAAGTAAAAATCATCAGTGTTTTAGAATTATAGGAAGTTAATAGGTTAGATACTAAAGTTGTGGTGAATTGTAATTTTTTTTAAAAAAACTGGAGGTATTCCATAGTGTCCCCTCTTATTCAGTATAAGGATTACTGGTCTTTATGATTTATAAAATATTTATCAATTAAATATACACATTATTTATATTATGACTTGGATTTGCAGACATGTGGGATACAAATTAAAGTTTGACATCTGCAACAGACAGAATTCCAAATATACTTAAAAGACAGGCAGGTAGTGCTATACATAGAACAGCATAGCACAGTACAGGCCCGTCGGCCCATGATGTTGTGCTGACCTATTATCCTACTCTAAGACCAAACGAACCTGCATACCCTTCATTTTACTATCATCCATATGCCTACACTTTAAGATCACAGAATGGCAGATGAAATTCAACAGAGTAGGGGTAGGGCATTTTCATCTGTCCCTTGATTCTAGAATGAGTTTCTGCCTGGGCCTTCATGAGACTGAACTTTCAAATAGTGGGCCTTACCAGAAGGTAGTAAGATCCAGTTTGCAGGATTTGCTTCCTTTTAATCATTCTCTACTATTACTCTGCTTCATAATTAAGGGACTTGTATGCAATGCATGCTGCAGCTTGATTGCCAGATTATTACCATTTTGAATGGCAGGTGGCAAGCTCTTCCCACTAATATCAATGCTGCCAAGTTTCAAATCATCTTTGACAGTAAGGAATGGGAAGGGAAGGCAACAGTCAGTGCTGGGATCCCCTGTGGTCATTCCCCTCAACAATAAGTACACTGTTTTGGATACTGTTTGTGGGGGGGGGGGGGGTGGAGAACAACCTACTAGGGGTAAGACACGGACCAGGTCTGGGTCTGTGGCTCAGAAGGGAAGTGGGGAGAGTAGGAGAGCAATTGTAGTGGGGGATTCAATAGTTAGAGGCACAGACAGGCAGTTCTGTGAATGCAAACGAGACAAACGGATGGTATGTTGCCTCCCGGGTGCCAGGGTCCGTGACATCTCGGATCGTGTCTTCAAGATCCTTAACTGCTGGTGAGCAACCAGCAGTTATGGTACACTTCGGTACCAACGACATAGATAAAAAGGACCGAGAATGTCAAAAAACTAGTGCAGGGAGTTAGGTTGGAAGCTGAAGTCCAGGACAAACAGGGTAGTTATGTCTGGATTACTACCAGTGCCACGTGATAGCGAGGTAAGGGATAGGGAGAGAATGCAGCTAAACACGTGGCTACAGGGCTGGTGTCGGAGGGAGGGCTTCCATTATGTGGATAATTGCAGCACATTCTGGGAAAGGTGGGACCTGTACAGGGAGGACGGGTTGCACCTGAACTAGAAGGGCACGAATATCCTGGGAGGGAGGTTTGCTCGAGCTGTACGGGATGGTTTAAACTAGACTGGCAGGGGGTGAGGAACCGGATCTGCAATTCAGAAGATGAGGTATTCAGCCTTCCCACAGACACAACAGGGAGTGAGGTTGTTAATAAAGAAATGCAGTTGATGGAGCGAAATTGTGTACATAGGGATGGTTTGAAGTGTGTATACTTCAATGCTAGAAGTATCAGAAATAAGGCGGATGAACTTAGAGCATGGGTCAGTACTTGGAACTACGATGTTGTGGCCATTACAGAAACTTGGGTAACTCTGGGAGAGGAATGGTTGTTGGAAGTTCCGGGATTTAGATGCTTTAAAAGAAATAGGGAGGGTGGTAAAAGAGGCGGGGGAGTGGCATTGCTAGTCAGGGCTAGTATAGCAGCTACTGAAAGGCGGTTCGAGATTGATATGTCTACAGAGTCAGTTTGGGTTGAGGTCAGGAACAGAAAAAGGAGCAGTCACTTTGTTGGTTTTTTTTTTAAAAAAACAGACCCCCTAATAGTTGCAGAGAAGTTGAGCGGCGGATTGGGAGGCATATAATGGAAAGTTGCAGAAGTCACAGGGTTGTAGTCATGGGTGACTTCAACTTTCCAAATATTGATTGGAAACTTTTTAAGTTGTAATAGTTTAGATGGAGCAGATTTTGTCCAGTGCATTCAGGAAGGATTCCTGACACAGTATCTAGGTAGACCAACACGAGGAGAGGCTACTTTGGATTTGGTGCTTGACAACGAACCAGGCCAAGTGTCAGACCTGTTGGTAGGAGAGCATTTTGGCGGTAGCGATCGTAACTGCTACTTTTACAACAGTCATGGAAAAGGATAGGTACATACAGCAGGGTAAGGTTTATAATTGGGGGAAGGGTAATTATAATTCTGTTAGGCAAGAACTGGGTAACATAAAATGGGAAGAGCACTATAGAAATGTGGAGATTGTTTAATGAACGCATACTGCGTGTGCTCGATATGTTTGTCCCTAGCAGGCAGGAAAGATATAGTCGAGTGAGGGAGCCTTGGTTCTCAAGAGAGATTGAACGACTAGTTAAGAAGAGGAAGGATGCTGATATAAGGTTTAGGAAACAAGGATCGGAAAAGACTCGAGGGATGCAAGTTAGCCAGGAAGGAGCTGAAGAAAAGGCTTAGGAGAGCTATAAAGGGGCATGAGAAAACCTTGGCAGATAGGATCAAGGAACACCCCAGGGCTTTTCACACGTACGTGAGGAATAAGAGAATGACCAGAGAAAGGGTAGGGCCAATCAAGGATTATAAAAGGGAATTTGTGCACGGAGCCTAAAGAGATAGGAGAGGTCCTTAATGAATACTTTTCTTTCTTCGGTATTCACAACTGAGAGGGACCTAGTTGTAGGGGAGGACAGTGTGAAACAGGCTGGTAGGCTAGAGAAGGTCAATGTCAGTAAGGAAGATGTACTAGGAATTTTGAGGAACTTGTAGGTAGATAAATCCCCCAGGTCTGATGGGATTTATCCAAGGATTCTATGGGAAGCGAGGGAAGAGATCACAGGGCCTTTTGGCGATGATCTTTTCGTCCTCACTGTCCATGGGTTTCGTACCAGAAGATTGGACAGTGGCAAACGTCATTCCCTTGTTAAAAAAGGGAATAGGGATAATCCTGGAAATTACAGGCCAGTTAGTCTTACTTCAGTGGTGGGCAAAATTATCGGAAAGGGCTCTGAGTGATAGGATTTATGATCACTTGGAAAGGCACAGTTTGATTCGTGATAGTCAGCATGGATTTGAGAGAGGTAGATCATGCCTCACAAACTTTACTGAATTCTTTGAAGAGGTGACCAAACACATGGATGAAGGTGGAGCAGTGGATGTGGTACACATGGATTTAAGCAAGGCGTTTGCTAAGGTTCCCCATGGTAGGCTCATGCAGAAAGGAGGCATGGGATAGGGGCAAATGTGGCAAATTGGATTCAGAATTGGCTGACCCTTAGAAGACAAAGAGTGGTAGTGGATGGAAAATATTCAACATAGTGCTGAGTTACGAGTGATGTACCACAATGATCTGTCTGGGTCCTATTCTATTTGTGATTTTTGTAAATGATTTGGATGAAGGAGTGGAAGGGTGGATTAGTAAGTTCGTGGACGATACGAAGGTGGGTCGAGTTGTGGATAGTGCAGAGGGCTGTTCTAGGTTACAAAGACATTGATAGGATGCAGAGCTGGGCTGAGAAGTGGCAGATGGAATTTAACCCTGAAAAGTGAGGGGATTCATTTCGGAAGGACAAATGTGAAAGCAGAATACAGAGTTAACGGAAAGATTCTGAGCAGTGTGGAGGAGCAGAGGGATCTCGGGGTTCATGTCCACAGTTCCCTGAAAGCTGCCACCCAGTTGGATAGAGTTAAGGCGTATGGTGTGTTAGCTTTCATTAATAGAGGGACTGAGTTCAAGAGCTGTGAAGTTATATTCCAGCTATACAAAAGCCTGGTTCGGCCACATCTGGAGTGTTGTGTCCAGTTCTGGTCGCCTCATTACAGGAAAGATGTGGAAGTGTTGGAAAAGGTGCAGAGGAGATTTACCAGGATATTGCCTGGAGTGGAGGGAAGATCTTACGAGGAAAGGTTGAGAGAGCTAGGGCTTTTCTCTTTAGAACGACGAAGGACGAGAGGTGATTTGATAGGGGTGTACAAAATGATCAGAGGTATAGATAGAGTGGATAGCCAGAGACTTTTTCCTAGGGTGGAGGTAGCTATTACAAGGGGGCATAGTTTTAAAGTGAGTGGAGGTAGATTATAGGGGAGACATCAGAGGTAGGTTCTTTAGTTAGAGTGGTAGGGGCTTGGAATGCATTGCCAGAGAGGGTAGTGGAGTCGGCTTCATTCGGGGCATTTAACCAGCTATTAGATAGGCATATGGATGATAGTGTAAGGTAGGGGTGGAGGTTAGATAGACCTTGGGTTTAAGGTAAAAGTTTGGCACAACATCATGGGCCGAAGGGCCTGTACTGTGCTGTACAGTTCTATGTTCTATTTTATGTTCAAGTATTTTCTTTGTCCACCCTAGAATACACAACCAGGATCAGGCAGGGAACATACTTTTTGGCCAACCTGATGCAGTATTCAGTCCATTGTAGAGAATTTTTTTTTTAAAAAGGAGATCTGCCTGATATTTATGGAACTGGCCAAAAAAAGAACAGTAGCATTCGCTTGGCAGATCTCCCATTGAATTCAGAGGCTGCAGCAGAAGCATTGCTGACGGAATTCCTCTAGTGCTGTTATAGATTGCTGATACACAACTGACAGGCAGAAAAATGCGTGGTGATAGAATGGGGCAAGACAATGCATGCTAGGTAGTATAATTTTAAAACAGTGCAAGAACAGGGTTTCTGCACAAGTTTTTGAAGGTGGCAACAACAGGTTAATAATGCTTGTGTTCTTGGACTGTACAAAGAGAGAGAGTATGGAAGCCACAAATTTATGACAAATCTTTATAAGACACTAGTTCAACCTTAGTTGTTGTACTGTGCTCAATAATACACACCATATGTTAGCAAAGATGCGAAAGCTTTAGAGAGGACATAGATGAGTTATTAGAATGAGTGTGGACAAAAAACAGCAAGCGAGTTGGACAGCAGTGACACAAATCATGGAGTTTAGATGGTTTTCTCTTCATTCACTGTTTCTAATGGCTGATGGGGTGAATAAACAGAGTATGCAGTTAGACAATTGACAAAGGAAATTTGAAAGAGAGGAAAAAAAAATCTCAGTTTCCCCCATCCCTAGTTTCAAATACACAGAATTATACATTTAAACAAAATAATTTAAAATTAAGGACTTGAGTACAAAATGTAGTAGTAGGTTGCTCTTTGAAAGAGCTGGTGCAGACTTGATAAATCTGCTGGACTCCCTTCTATGCGTACTATGTTCTGATTTATCGATTAAATAAACCACAGTGATTACATTAAGCCAAATTGTTTCTCAAATATCAAAGTGATTTGCAAAAATGTTCTGGAATCCTGAATGGTCATTGACAATATCAGCTTATTATGAAAAGCACCAAAATGCATACATTTACACCTAAATTAACATTTTGAGATCCTACAAGCATGGTGGATGAAGTGAAACCAATAGTTGTGGTTTATTTGGATTTTCAAACGGCATTCTATAAGGTGACACATAAATGGTCACCGGATAATTTATTAACTCATGGTGTTGCGGGAAATGTATTAGTATGGATAGAGAATTGGCTAATTAAAAAAAGGACAGAGTTGGAATAAATGGGTTATTTTTAGTTGAGCAAACTGTCGCTATTGGAATGCCACAGGAATTGATGTTGAGGCCTCAACTATTTACAATCTAGATCAATGACTTGAATGAAAGGACAATTTAGTGAAGCAAAATTCACTGACGACACAAAGATAAGTAGGAAAGCAAGTTACGAGGAGGACTCAGTGTATAAAGGTATTTGGAGACGTTAGACAAGTGGGCAAAAATTTGGATATGGAGTATAATGTGGGTTAATGTGAACATGTCCACTTTGGATGATTAGAAAATCAGAATTTTATTGAAAACGACACACTGCCAAAATGCAGTGGTGCAGAGGGATCTGTGTCCTTCTATATAAAGTAAAACATTAGCATGCAGATACAGTAACTCATTAGGACAGCAAATTAAAACTTAGCCTTTAATATAAAAGAAACATTTGCTACAACTATACACAGCAATGATGAGAACGTCGTGTACTGCACAATATCTTGATCTCCTTACTCATCAAGGGATACATCTGCATTGAAGGCAGTCCACACAAGATTCACATAAGGTTCTGAGGAAGGGTCACCGGACCCCAAACGTTAACTCTGTTTTGTCCTCCAGATGCTGCCAGACCTGCTGACCTTTTCCAGCAACTTTGTTTTAGTTTCTAAGGTTCACTAGTTTGATTTTTGGGATGAGGTTGAGCAAATTGGGCCTGTACTTGCTGGAGTTTAGAAGATTGAGAGGTGGTCTAATTGAACAATAAGATTCTGAGACGGCATGAAAGGATAGATTCTGAAAGCATGTTTCCCCTTATATGTCCAGAACCAGGAATCTCAGTTTAAAAATTAAGAGTTTTCCCATTTAAGATGAAGAGGTTATTCCTTAAGACTTGTTCATCTTTAGAATTCTGAACTCCAGATTTCCGTGGAACCTGGGTCATTGAATATTCTGTGGCCAAATTAGACAAATTTTTGAACAACAATCAATATTTATGGGTGGTAGGCAGGAAAGGTGCAGTTAAGGACATAATCAGATCAACCTAAATCTTACTGAATGGTGGAATGGTCTGAATTGTCTACCCTTGTGCTTATTTGTAACATTACGCACCTATAGTAGATGTATGTTGTGCTGTTTCAATCAAACCTGTGAATGGCGAATTTTTTGTATTATTTGTTAACAACTTCATGAAACATCAGAATAACTTCAAATACAAACTCTTACTTCTCTGCTGCAAGAAAGATGCCAGAGGCACAATCAGCTTTGAATTCAGGATCACACAAATCCAGAAAATACAGCAATTCCTTCGTCATTCCTCTAACGTTATTTCCATTTACGAGAGCAAAGCTCAGTTCCATTGCACGCCTATAAAAGGCAAATGAAAAGGTGAGCTAAGTTTGTGTGTTACCATAATGAGAACAGCCCATTGAATTTTCAACAATTTTGTTGAAATTGACGTTTAATTTCATTTACATGCTGTATGTCTACAAAACATCAAATCCAATACTTTTGTTCAAAAACAACCAGTTAAATTTTGGACTCATTAACACATTGAAAGACGCCGCGTTAATTCTTTCCAATATTGTAATTCTGCAAATATGGATGCCAAACCCAGAACATTAGCTGAGAGAAATCAGAGGAAGGATCACTCAACTTGAAACGTTTACTCCGATTCCTCTCCACAGATGCTGCCAGATCTGCTGAACTTATCAGCAATTTGTTTTTGTCTCCGATTTACAGCATCCACGGTTCTTAGCTGTTATGCTATAGTCTACTAACAAGTATAATCTGTTGCCTTATTTCATATTTAGCTACTATAATGTTTGCAACCACCTACTACACAGCAGTTCATTCTTTCTTTGGCATTTACCCACATAATACCCAAAACAGGTTCATTAACAGCATGGCTACAATGGAATACATATGGACTGCAAGAAAATACTAAAACAATGATAGTAAATAACCAAGTCTATGATCCCTACAAGCTGCTGAGGCCATTTCCAACAATGGAGCCAATGGGATTCTCACTTGTAATCTTTGCATAATTGTACTGTTTACTATGCAAACTTAACTTTACTATAAACAATCAAAATTCCCAAAGTGAAATCTTTACCTTTTGATAGATACATCCAAGTCCTTCAAACAATCCACGATTGTACTTCTGTGTCTTTGGACTGCATTATGATCTGTTTGGACTGTTTTAAGCAGCGATGTCAGTGCTACATACCTTCAAACAACAAAGCAAAAAGTCGTACAAGTTTAAAAAACTTTAGCTGTAAACTGTGCATATTTTTAAAAGCACTGGTCTGAACAAACCAAACACCATGAGTGAATAATTGTTCAATCACAAGAAATCTCAAAACAACAGAAGATATGAAATAAAGAATGAGTTCTGGTGTACAAGATTTGTTGCAGGAGTGAGGATTTGACTTTTCTTTTGAGTAGGCAAAGCTTTCTTCAAAGTGATTTCCCGTTCTATCCAACTTTCTCAGGTGTACACCTGCACTCCATTATAAATCTAAAACCTGTTATTTACATGGTGCCTTCAATCTACACTAAGGCACTTTGCAGGACATTTTACACTGAGCCAAAGCTGTAGTAGAATATTTGGACAAGTGACTGAAAGGTTAGTCAAGAAACAAGATTTAAAGACTGGATTAAAAGGCAGATGTAGAGAGAAGCAGAGCTAATTCAAACCTTATGCCTTAAGGTAACTAAAAGTTCAGCTACTGATGGTACAGCAATTCAAAGTTAGGATTCACAAAAAGGCCAATATTGAACTAGCGAGATTTGGGAGGATTACAAGAGCTCAGAGGTGAGATGGGTAAGCATGTACAGGGATTGCAGAACATAAGTTTTAAAATCAACACATTGCTGGACAGACAGCCTACGTAGGTGAACATCATCAGCAACAACGGGTGAACCAGATGAATGTCAACCATACTGCTGTTGGTCTGGAGTCACAGACTGATTTTCTTTCCCAATGGGAATTAGTGAACCAGGTTATTACAGCACTCAAGAGGGATTATCTAATTGTTCCAGACCTTTATTTTATTGAATTCAAAAGTCACCACCTGCCACAGTGGGACACAAACCCATTTCTCCACATTAGCTTGGGGTTCTGGATCAGTAGTCCACTGAAATTAGCACTAGGCCACTACCTCTGGATACAGAGTGAGAAGTCCATCTTGGCTTCAAGATTACAAATGATCCAGATCAATTAGAGAGATGGAGATGCTGGTCAAAACAGGAATTGACAACAATAGCTTCTAATGTACATAATATTTAGTTGGAAGAAATTTTCAGCAGTGGATGCTGGATAAGCAGCATGGAACATCAGAAGCGCTAGAAATGGGTCGAGAGAGATTGTGAGGTGCGAGAGAAATAATTTGCTGCTCAACTCACCCTCAGGGCATCCCAAAAAGAATTTCATATCAAGTAAGCATTTTTACAATTGAAGTCACTACTTTTTTTGTAAGAATTTAGGTAATTGGCTCAATAGAAAACATGTTAAAAATCTAACAGATCCAAATTCATTGTTTGAAATTTGAGTTGTATTTACTTAGATCAATCTATGCATTAAGAGTTCAAAGAAAATGATCCTGATTTTGCTATTGCAAAAACAGTTTACACAAGTTTAAAATCAATGAAAATACCTAATATTTTTGTCATTATTAAGCAAGAACCGTCCCAAGATATTAATGGCTAAAACCTGTAATAAAACAAAAACATGAAATTTGATGTTAGTTATATGCAAATAAATATAACCTTCATTTAAACGTTAATCGCAAAATTAACTCGTTTTAAATAGATTTTCACATTAATTGCTGCAAAATTGAATGTGAAGCTCTTTTTGACAAATGTCACATCAATCACCTCCTGCTAGGCACGTCTTAAGAGTCTGAAATCAGCAAGACTTTTTATAGGTTGTCCTTTAGATAGCGGTAAGCCTGAAAAACCTATGCCTGTTGCGTATAGTTCACCTATGTTGTGACACTGATTTGGAAATACTAAAGCTGCTGTTGTGTAATGGAGTTTCAACTAAACAAACAATAAAAACGTGCCAAGAACCAAAACAAATCCACAATATTAATTTTTGACACTGTTACACACTCAGAAACACAGGCTGCAATATACCAGTTGTCATGTGGCGCATGGCAGACACAAGTTACTTGTTTTAAAGATTGAAAGAGTTCCAAATTTAGTTCCTGAGGACTGTGGTAATAAATATTGGCAGTCCTAGCTAAATATCACCACATCTTGTGGTAATAGCACATCTCATTTCTCCAAAATAAGTGCCTAATAAAGCTTAACTTTTAACTGCCTTTCCTAATGACACTTAATTCTACACAAGTAGCAAAATTAAGATGGAATGAAGTAAAACAGGACTGAAGCACTCTGCTGAAAAGAGAGTCAAATTTGATTAAGCTAAAGTTATCAAACGTTAACCATAATAAGATGAAACTTGTTTCATTGTGGCAAAAAAAAAAGAAAAAAAAATCGGATGGAGTCAGTTGTCCTCTTCATGAAAGGAAGAGGAGGTTTGGATGCTATTTACATGGGTTGCCATAAACTATTTTAATTACATACTATCAAAAGAACTTGACTATAATATGATCAATAGAATCCATAATTTCAGATTCTTCAGTTTTAGGACTGCTACCAAAACATAAATGCTTTCATCCATGTTCTAATTATCTTAGATGGCTGCTAAACAGCAACATGATTGAAAACTCTGCCACTGATTACACAATCATCTGACAACTCTAGGAAGAGCTCCAATTTTAAAATGTGATAATATTTCTGCATTACAATTGATCTGAATGTTCATTTAGATCATATCAACTACCACAGAAAGTGCTGTACATTTTTTAAAAATTTAGCCGTACAAAGATTCATGCAGCACACCACCACCTGCAAGTTCCACTCCAAGCCATTCACCATCCTGATTTGGAAAATTATCGCTGTTCCTTCACTGTCATTGGGTCAAAATCCTAGCATTCCTTCTCGAACAGCATTGTGGGTCTAGTTACAGTACATGAACTGCAGCAGATCAAGATAGCAGCTCACCACCACATTCACAATAAATGCTGGTCAGCCAGTGACCCACTTGTTCCACAAGTGAATTTTATAAAGTTAACAAACACTAAGCTTTCTTTCCAGGGGTGCACTAGACTCCATCACGAAAGATGACAAATTGTCCATCAGCTTCATCACTGGAAATGGTAGGACCGCAGCACCATTACTTTCAGCCTTTCCCAATTCATTAAGGCAAAGTAGCAGACCGTTCCTTGTCCCTCAAGTGTCATTCCAAGTCAAATTAACTACATTAAATTTCAGAATACAACTTAAAACAGATTATAAAGATCCATTTATGCTACATACCCTCAGTCCACTCTCTGATTTGATGTCCATAATCGTCAAAACTGTTTCATATAAAATTGCATTACCCACATTTTTGCTAGTTTCTGTGTTTGTGGCAACCTAAAAATAGATCAAAATTCACACTAATCAATACCAAAACAACACTAGTAAGTTACCAAAATGCAGCTGGTGCACACAATTATTTTTTAAAATCTGGACTAGTTCCATTTGAAATAATGTTTTTGCTTTTCTCTACTTGATTCAGTTTCAAAATTGCTGACAGATAAGAATAATCCTCCAAAACCATTCGACATTAATTTTGTTTTCTCATATTAAGTACATTTATGGATATTAAATATTTGCAAATCACAAGTTTTGAAACATGCTTTTATCATCATGTTGTATACAAGCTCAAAGAACCCAGGTCCAGAAACAAATTACATTAGAGTAACGTCCCAAAAGAGCTTAAAGACATATGCATTCAACAGAAATAGCCCACATTATTCCATGGGGCAAAAGGTTCCACGTAATTAAATGGATATAAAGAGCAAAAATAAAATTCCTAGTCAACATCAATTATATGCCACCCAAAAGCCACAACAGACAAGTATGGTTCCAATTTTATGACCCATAAATGGTTTGTGAAGCAAAACTAAAAGTGCAGCCAACCACATTTGACTGCAGATGTGATTGCCTGTTGTTACAGGTACTTCTGGTCACATTAAGTTTAGAAACTGTCTTCACCTGTGCGAGAATGTCATTCATGGCTTCACTCGAGTCATCATCATTTCTACCCAACATTCGTAGTAAACGCAGTATTCGAACCTAGAATTATACAATAGAAAATTAATCTGAAACAAACATTTTGGTACTCCAATGAGGGGTACTATTGCTATCTGAACTTAACATTTCTCCCAATGGCTGCTAAAATACCAAAACATTTAAAACAATAGAACAAAGCTTCTATCATGGTATCTCAACTACATACTCTTTGTTGTTGACCAAAACGGAGTTTAAAGAATACTTACGTTTATATGCATCATCTTTTCAAGTACACATTGAATTTTCAATTTCATAAGAAAGTTTTGCTTTTTTTTAAAAAAGAAAAAAAAGTTATTGGTTCTTGGGTTGTGTGTGTTGTTGGCTTATTGCCTTTGGTAATGTGGTGCCCTCTTGAACTACTGTAGGCCTTTCTCCACTGCTGTTAGAGACAGAGCTCCACAAATTTGACAGTGACAATAAAGAAACAGCAATGCAGCTCCAAGTCAAGATGGTACATCGATTGGTAGGAGCTTGGAGGTAATTATCTCATGCGACTGTTGCCCTGGTTCTTCTAGTCATTAGAGACTAACAATTCAGCCTGTGAGTGCTCAGAACTCCTGAGAGCTTTAGGGGAAATCAGAAGAATCTTGTGAGCCATTGATTGTTCAGCACCACATAGTAAAGAAAGCCTGGAAGTATTATTAGGGCAGCTGAGTATAATTAGAGTTCAGAGGAACATAGCCAAAATCATACCAATACAGAAACACTAGAGTGCAGTTTCCAGAAACCCCCCAGGGAATGCAGTCCCAGGAAAGAAGAGGATACTACTGTCAACTGTTGAGACAATCCATGACAGAGCTGCTTTTGGATGAAGGTTTGAAGCTATATCTTCGACAGAAAAACTGCAATCCCTTGTAAGTGTCGATGACCCACAGTCTCACTAACCATCTGGGTAATGCTGAGAAATCCACAAGATCTATCTTGACTGCATTTGTTACTTGAATGTCTTCTTGCATTGAGCTAAATAAATGAATAAACAATAAATAAGCCTAATTTGGCCTTGCAGGGGATGCAATTTGACAAGTTAGTAGTAGGTGACCATCGATTCCACTTGGAAGAGGAAGTGGAATGTCTGACCAGAGTTGGCATGTTAGGTTCGTCTTATGTTAACTCTGGATGCCAGAATACAAGTTTTATTTATGCATATTTACCTGATATATATATACACGCACACTTGTGTAAAGTATGTCAACGTTTGGTCAATCATTGTTTCTTCGCCGAATGCAGTTTCACTTGTAGTAAGCTGGTTATTTGTTAATTAAAGAATTATGGCTGACTTGACTTTGATATTGAAATAAGAGTCTGATTTCTAAATAATTATCATTCTTTTTAAATTCAAACTCTTTTTTTAAAAAAAAAAAAAACAGCCAGTGGAAGAGGTCACTAGGAAAGGAATCAGTTCACTTTGCCAGCCTTGTAAATAACAATCCCTACTTTGGAATCAGCAAAGCACACCACTTCAGGCTCTTAGCAGTGTCAAAAGCACCTGTCTATTCATAACAATGGGATTTCCTCTTATTGTTTCTGAATTTCACTACATCTTTCACCAGCCACTTGAACTCTGCATTAGTACAGAACATCTCTTCTCCAAATTATTCAAATTGCTGCACGTACATTCAGCAAAGAATATGTTTTTTGAGTCAGCAATTTCAAACAGTGAACTACCTTTCCCACTTCCTCTTCCTAGTGGAATGGATGGTCACCCACTACTAACTTGTCAAGTTGCATTCCCTGCAAGGTCAAATTAGGCTTATTTATCGTTTATTCATTTATTTAGCTCAATGCAAGATCATGCAGTAGACAAAGGTCCAGTTCAGTAATTTTTATTGTGTAGCCCTGTTCTTAAAGCAACATTTCAATAGCTTAAGAGCAAATCTACCATTGAAAATTCAATTTGCGAACAGCATTGTAATAATCTGGCTAAATACCATGAAACACCAAACTATTCTGAATTGGCATTTCCCTTGTTATTTATGAACATAGATTCACATTATTAGGTGCAAACAAAAAAAACTAACCTGAAGGAAGGGATCACTAATGCCAGAAACATCATGTTCTGGTGAGTAACCAGACATAATAAGGTTTTTCAGGATTCGAACAAGCTGAGGGACAAGCTGGAAAAGCAAGAAAATACAACTTAGAACTCAAAAACAAACTGGCTTATGATACCAAAACACTTCACATTAAGTAATGTCTTTCGTGAACAAGAGGACACAACAAATGAACCAGTGATTTATTTTAAAAAACACTCATGTACAATTGACAAGTATATTCTATTCTTTTTAATATTCAGTCGTATGACACTAAGGAAGTCTCCACCCACACACCCCTACCATTTGGAATGCAATTTCTACTATTCTTAAAGAGTACGCTAAAAAAAAAATCACAAATTCTGTGCACCTCTCAGACTTGGAATGTTCTTCCCTTTATTGATAGGTAATTTTTAAAAATTAATCCAACATGCAGTTGCAATTTTCTTTAAATTCAGGATGTTATCTTACCTTTTCATTCTAAAACCATGCAGCATTTGCAACAAGAGGAGATGAATAAGAAAATTAAGCACTTGTTAGAATATTGAGAAACATATTTGTAAAAGAACAAATCTGGCAATTAACAGTTTTTACTTGAAGGTCAAAGTTATTAAAATGGACAAAAAGATCAAACCCAAACTTTCAGAATGCACACATTGGAAAAGAATTCAATGTCGAAGCATGTTGTCCGCAGGATATCTGCAACAATACCAATCTAAAAGGAGATTAACATTTTATATGCAATAATACCTAACCTCCTAACCCTTGCATATTTTGGACATGTAGATGGAATATTTGCTTTTATGGGCTTTAATTGGCACTCACATTTATCTTTGACAGAGCATTTAAATTAGTTCCCATTCATCGACGTGCTATTTAAGAAATTGTTCAAGGGGTTCTGTGTCTACCATTACTGCTCAAGATACATTCTGGGATTTCTACAGTGCCACAGAGTCAGAGAATCATACAGCATGAAAACAGACCCTTCAGTCCAACTAGTCCATGCCAAAAATAATCCCAAACTAAACTAGTCCTACCTGCCTGCTCCTGGCCCATATCCCTCTAAACCTTTCCTACTCATGTACTCATCCAAATGTCTTTTAAATATTCTAATTGCATCCATATCAACCATTTGCTCTGGAAATTTATTCCACATGCAAATCACCCTCTAAAAAATTTACCCCCTCGTATCTTTTATTAAATGTCTCTCCTCTCACCTTAAAAACACGCCCCAAGTCTTGAAATCCCCCATCCGAGGGAAAAGACAACTACTACATGTGAGATTGGTCTTACAGGCAACCAGGTAAATAGGGCCTCCAGTCAGTCATTTTCTCACCATGCAAATCTGATACTGAAAGAGGCCAAATAAAAGACATCTTGCAAGCTAATTGCCTCCTGATCTGATAATCTCTCACTGTATCATGATGTAAAATCATGAACATGCATAAGGCCATAGCCTTTGGTTGGAAAAATTCCCTTAGATTACCCTGGAAATCTCAAAAAATTTGAGTATCAGATGAAGATAGATGTCTCACACTGCTCCTATGCAGTAGTGGCATTCTCTATTTACCAGACACTGCCATCAAATCAAAAAAGATGTTCTGCCTATCACATGAATAACAAAATACACAAATTTCAGTGTGATGCTAGGTACATTTACAATAGAGTTCAAACAGCAGGTCACTTTGGGTGTTCACAATAGGCAAGGTATGACTGCACCCATTCAGCACACACACTCAATGTCCAACATTAAGTGTGATTTTGCAATTACACAGAGCTTGCTAAATAATTCTCATGGTGCTAAGAATTGCACCGTCAACCAATTAAAGATCACAAGTCAGCTTTGCAGTGTGCTGCACTTGTACGCACTGAAAGTAAAATATATTAATATGCAGGGATCCTGTTTTTTTGCAGACAGAAAGGCCATATACATACATTTGTTTCAGTGTAGCAAAATGGGCATTGGCTATTCTGTGGTTCATTCTTCAGTGCAGTGCCTTGGCCAGAGTCAACCCACTTTGTTTAAATTGACAGTTATCTAAATGGTGTTTCCTTCTTGACAAGGCCTCTGAAGTCCACTTGCCAACTAATACATATTTTCTCTTAAACAGTATAAAATGTTGTCCCCCTTTAAATTGGTATTCTTGCAAACGTCCTGACCACAAAATAAAAGTATCACATTAAATTTCTGCATATTGAGCTGATCAGACAAATTTTGCAAAAATCTTGAGATTCTGAATCCAGATGTTATTTAGAAGCATGCATCAAACTGTCAGCAGCAGGACAGCAAGAGTTCAGAAATATTTTGGTTAATCTGAATTCAGGTTGTCATGATCATTGTAATTTGAAGTACTGATCATAATTACTAATAATTAAAGATCATCCTTCAGACATTACAATTCATTTTTTCAGTCATCCAAATTTGACAAATTAACAAAGGGAGCACACGCCTGTATGTGCAGTCACAACAATTTGCATTTCCATTGTATTTCAATACTGAAAAAAAGCTACTGATCTCAAACTTGAAAATTGCAATTGGGAGAAAGTACATCCCTAATTTCCACCAGCTTTGGAGGAAAAGAGCTGATTTCATAAGATATCAGCTTTAACATTGTTAGTTGCATTATTGCCAGAGTCTGAAGGCTGCAGGTTTACATTCCATCAAGTTAAGTCAGTCAGTAAGCCAATTTTCCACACGATGTAAAAACTGATGACCCATCTACCCTCTCAGTTGAGCATAAAAGATCCCATGGCAATAATGTAAAGAAAAGGAGTTCAACACATTGAGGGCTGACTACCAGTCAGGTAATGTCACCAAAAAAAAAAAAAAATCTGGTCATCGTGATACTGCTGATTTTAGAATATTTGCTGTGTACTACTGGCTGCTGTTTCCCTCATTTCAATCACAACTGCACTTCAAAAATGTACACGACTTCCTAAAATGTGATTTAGGATGTTTTGAGATCACAAAAGCTTTATATAAATGTCATTTTTTCCCTCTTAACTAACCCAGTTTCAATGTTAGGTTGCGAGGCTTAAGGTTGCGAGATTGCAGCTGCTCTATATCTACCCTATAAATCAAGCACCTTGGTGAAATCACCCCTTAATCTCTCAAATTGAGAGAAGCAAGTTTATACAATGCTCCTTCACAACATTTAAACGTATAGTCCAGATTTGGTATGGTAAATCTATGCTGCCTCCAAAGACAATGCCTCTTGAGGTACCGCATCAGAAATCTGGCCCAGGTTCTCACAACTGTACCAAGCAGTCAGAGATTGCTATCCATCCATGCATCCTCACCTCAAAAATTACTTGCACACACAGTACCTTCTCAAAGTCCATACGGCCAACTGCCACATACACACAAACTTCCTCAAAAGAAATTCAGCGAGATAAGCAACACGTGACTTCCCATCCAGAAATGGATATTTGAATGAGTCGCCATAATCTTACCAGATCAGAGAGATGACTGGTGGTGATTTAACCTGAGAGCCAGTGTATCTCAGGTGAGGGGAGAAGTTGAGAAGGACTGTCCTTCATGGTAACCTCAGCCAGTGATGGGAATTGAACCCGCACTGTTGTCATCACATTGCTTCACCAACCATCCAGCAAACCGAGTTAAACGGACTCTAAAATCCATATTTATATACTAATTTATGCACTAAATAGTTCTAGCATCAAAGAAATACTATTCCTCATTGTAGATTCTGATTATTTTCCTTACTACTGATGTTAAATTGGCTTATCTGTAGCCATGTGCCTTCTGCCTTAAATGCCATTGGAAATTTTCCAGTCCAAAATGCTTTTTTAAAAGAGTGGGCAAATTATAATTAACTCATCTATAAATGCTTCAGATTTCAAATATCCCAAAGTGGAAACATCAGGTTCTGGAGATCTGCTCAACAACAAATGAAAAATCCAATGTTATCACTGTCCTCTTGAATTCTTAAGGTTCCTTTGCACCACTGGTACAGATACACAGCTCTCATTTAACTAGTCTGGCATTTCCTTATCATTTACAATGTTGTTGGCCTTCAAAATTCCCCATTGGCCATCAACAACTCTGTAGTTATAAAAACATTTTGTTGTTAGCTTTGATATCCATAAGTTTTTCCATATACCTTTTTCCATCTTTCTTTGCATCCCTTGGTTCCTTTTTATAGGTGGTCTCTAGCAGTATTAACCAACAATGAAGTTAATTAGGGAAATTTGTTTTATAAATATTGTTCCTTAAAAAGATTTCCTAGTATTCTTAAGGTGCCATTAAAAAAGATTAGATATATCCGAAAAGGAGGAAATTAAAAAATCTGCATTCAAAAATTACTATTTTATTCGATAAAAGCGTAACAGTTTAAAGTAGTTTTTAAATGTGCTCCATTGAACTATGGAGAAACGCAGATAGCACCTATCACTCAATTTTTTATGCAAGCTGTTTAGTCTCTTCAAAAAACAAAAAAAAGTGGTGGCAACCTTGAAAACTTACTTTTTCCAGTTAATTAAAATGCAAGACCTAAATCATGTCAAAGCAAATGACGGAACCAAAATGCAGGTTTAGGTTATTAGATGACGAACGTGTTTGTCTGCAATTCTGGACAGAATTAAAATGTAACCAATTACATAACAATACACAGCAATAAACTCCTTCATTTCAACCAAAATTACGTGGCAATTGTAAACAATTAAAAAATTCCAATCTTGCCCATACAATTCTAAAGTGTGATACATTTGCTTTCCATTAACCTAGTTATAAACATTGTTCAAAGAAGGTGTAATGTTAGAGCGCACGTATAAGGATGTGTACCTGTGCAGCAATGAACATTACTTGTGAATAAGTGTTTAGTCTAACCCTTAAGCACAAATGTAACCATATTATGCATCATAACGAAAAGATGACAAACACAAGAAGATACAGTCACTCACTTTCCTGAAGTGTGCTAACATGTCAGGACTTCGTTCACACATTTCTGTGAGTAGAACAACGGACGTGTGAAGAACACCTAGAATTGAGGTATGGGGAAGATGGAAAACATTATACTTTGAAATTCATATTTCAAAATCTGTGTACAAACAGTTTAGTTTGTACAATGGATTAAAGATTATTACAGCCTAAAGATGCTTAACCTTTGTTGAAAAAAATCATTTCTTTCCTTCAATACATTAATGTTATTGTTGGTGTTTGAGAAGGTGATTAAAGTTGGAACCCAAACGCAAAACACTGAATTCTGGACATCTAAAACAACTCCACAGGTTTGGAGCATGTGTGGAGACAGAAGCAGAGTTAAAGTTGAATCAGAGATAGTAGGATCTTGTGCAGTATGATTGTTCTTCAGAACTGAAAAGGGTTGGAAACATTTTTTTTAAAAAGCACTTTTGACAAACAGGTTGCTAACGGCAGTTAAAAAAAGGATATAAAACAGGCGTAAACACACTGAAAAAAGAAAAAATAGGTCTTCTCTACTGAGTGCAAAATAAACATGACAAACAAAAGGCTAGAGGAATGCAAGAAAAATGGAAGAGAACAGGTCATCAAATGGTCAGGCCCTGAAGCTGTGGAATTCAATAGAGTCCTGAAGGCTATAAAAGGCACAAGTGCAAGACATTGTCTTGTCACTCAAACTTGGTTGCGCTTCATTGTAACACTAAAGTAGGCCCAGGACAGAAGCGTTAACATGAGAGCAAGACGGTGTATTGAAACGGCAAGCAATTGCTCAGTCCATAGGAATGACCCTGATCTTCCAGGAGCTTGCCATTTTAATAAATCACCTTCCTTTCATGCTAACATTTCTGCCCTGGGCCTACCACTTTTTCCAACGATACACAAAGCAAGCTCAAGGAACAACAATTCCTGTTAGACACCCACAGCCTCAGAGCTTGACTGCATGATGAAAGAAAAGTCGAAACAAGACACTGTACTCTCCCCCCCCTTCCCCAACCTGGTCTTGGAGATAGCAAGAACTGCAGATACTGGAGTCAGAGTCAATACCGTGTGGAGCTGGATGAACACAGCAGGTCAGGCAGCATCAGCGGAGCAGGAAAGTCGACGTTTAGGTTTATTGTCTCGTTTGTTGTCATGTTTACTTTGTTGTCAGTGGAGAGGACTCATTCTCTCCCTTCCACATCTTAACCTACACCCATTTTACATCTCTTTCACCATCAACAAACCCTTTGTCTTTTACACTGGGCCTCCATACCATCTATTCCCTTCACCACACCCACCAAAAGTATGAAAAATTTCCCACTCCTTTCCCAACCTAATAATGAAGGCAGCAGCTCCATCCAAGAAGTAATGAGACCAAGAATCACTCGTCAATTTCAAACTTAGAGAACATAATATCTATCTCTCTGCTATTAAAATGACTTAGTAGGATAAAGATTTGGATAACAGAACAGGTCCTTCAGCCCATTATGTTGTGCCGCATAAAATGCTAAATTAAACTAATTCCTTCTGCCTGCCTTGGTCCATGTCGCTCCATTCCTTGCATATGCATGTGCTTTTCTAAAAGCCCCTTAAACACCTCAATCGTATCTTCCTCCATCACCACCCCTGGCAGCACATTCCACACACCTACCATTCTGTGTATAAAAAAAAACTTGCCCCTCATCTCCTTTGAGCTGCCGCCCCTCTCATTTTAAATAAATGCTAAGTATTAGAATTTTCAACTCTGGGAAAAAGATTCTGACTGTCAATCCTATCCATACATCTCAATTTTACAGACATCTATCAAGTCTCCCCTTAGCCTCTGCCACTTCAGAGAAAACAACCCTAGTTTTCCTAGCCTCTCCTCATCGTTGATGTCCTCTAATCCAGGCACCATTCCGGTAATCCTTTGCTGCACCCTCTCCAAAGCCTCCTTGCTGTAGTGTGGTGACCAGAACTAAACACAATACTCTAAGTACAGCTTAACCAAAGTCTTATAAAGCTACAATATGACATTGCATTCAATGCCCCGACCAATAAAGGCAGGCAAGCATGCCATACGCCTTCTTTACCACCCTGTCTACTTGCCCCTCAAGATCCCTCTGTACATCAATGCTATTGACGGTCCTTGCAGTAACTCTGTACTTTTCCTTAACATTCGATCTCTCAAAGTGCAGTAACTTACACTTGCCTGGATTAAACTCCATCTGCCATTTCTCTGCCTATAATCGAATCAGTCGTACAGCATGGAAACAGACCAGGCCATTCAGTCTAACTAGGCACACTGACCATGTTCCCAAACTAAACTAGTCCCACTTGCAACTGATCTACATCCTGTTATATCCTGACAACCTTCTGCGGTATCCACAACGTCACCGATTTGTGTGTCATCCACAAACTTACTAACCATCTAGGTTTTCATCCAAGTCATTTATATATATCACAAACAGCAAAGGTGCCAGTATGGATCCCTGTGGAACACCATTAGACACAGACCTTCAGAGACAAAAAAAAATCCTTCCACCACTACCCTCTGCTTTCTGTGGACAAGCCCATTCTGAATCCAAGCAGCCAAGTCACCATGGATCCAATGCATCTTAATCTTCTGGAATAGTCTACCACAAGGGGCCACGTCAAAAGCCTTGCTAAAATCCATGTAGATAACATCCACGGCTCTACCCCCGTCGATCTTCTTTGTCACTTCCTTGAAAAATTCAATCAAGTTAATAAGACATGACTTGCCCCACACAAAGTCATGCTCACTGTCCCTAATTAGGCTTTTCCAAATGTGCTTAAATCCTATCCTGAAGAATTCTCTCCAATAGCTTCCCAACAACTAATGTGAGACTCACTGTCTAAAGTTTCCTGGATTATCTCTATTTCCCTTCTTCAATAGGGGAACAACATTAGTTCTTCGTCAGTCCTCCAGGCCCTCTGTGGCTGGCGAGGATACAAAGATCTTGGGTTGGCCCCAGTAATCTCCTCTCTTGCCTCTCTCAATAACCTGGGGTAGACACCATCGGGCCCTGGGGACTTTTCCACCTTCAAGAGACCCAACATCATTTCCTTCCTGATTTCAAAACGCCCAAGCATATTAGCAAGCTCCACACTAATTTCACTATCTGCAAATACTAATACAAAGTACTCATTCAGGATCTCACCCACATCCTCTGCCTCTAAACACATGTTGCTACCCTCTCCCTAGTTATCCTCTTGTTTTTAAAGATATGTATAGGATACCTTGGGATTCTCTTTTAACTCATTTGCCAAAGTCATTTCATGGCCCTTCCTTGCTCTCCCAATTCCCTGCCCGAGTTCTTTCCTGCTTTATATTCCACACGGGCCCAGTCTGATTTTAGCATCCTAAAACTTATATCTGCTTCTTTTGCCCTTTTGGCTAAATCCACAACTTTCTTCATTGTCCAAGGGTTCCTCACCCCGTCCTTGTTCTTCCTCCTTACTGGAGCATGCCAGTCCCGAACTCCCATCAATAGATCTTTAAATAACTCTCATGTTGAATGTGGGCTTACCTGATAACAGCTGCTCAAAATTAACTCCCCCAAGCTCCTGCCTAATATTGAAATAATTTTCCCTCTGCCAATTCAGTACCTTCCCACGAGGTGCTGATTTATCCTTATTCATAGCTATCTTAAAACTTAAGGAGTTATGATCACTGTTAGCAAAATGCTCTCCCACTAAAATGTCAGTCACTTGGCTAGGCTCATTAGCCAATACAAGGTCCAGTATGGTCCCTGCTCTAGCTGGACTATCTACATACAGTTTCAAGAAACCCTTTAGGATTCTGCCCCATCTAAGCCTCTTACTCTAAGGATGTCCCAGTTAGTATTGGGGAAGTTAAAGTCATCACTATGACAACCCTGTTGTTATTGCATCTTTCCATAATCTGCCTACATGTGTGTTCCTCATGTCTCGGTGGCTGTTGGAGTACCGATAGTATAATCCCGTCAGTGACTGCAGCCTTTTTTCAGCTCTACCGATACTGGAGGGATCATCCACAAAGTGCAGTATGTCCTCCGAGTGCAGATGTGACATTCTCCCGGATTAGTAATGCAACTCGTCCGCCTCTTACCTCCCTTTCTAGCTCATCTGAAACGACAAAACGCTGCAACATTGAGCAGCCAGTCCTGTTCCTCTCTCAACTAAGTCTCTGTAACGGCCACATCATAGTCCCATGTACTGATCCAGGCTCTACACTCATCTGCCTTATCCATAATATTCCTTGGGCTTAAGTGTGTTTATTTCAACACATCAGTCCCATTATGTTCATTTACCTGTATCTGCCCGTCCTTCCTTTCAGACTTACTGATCCTAACATTTACCTTCCTCTCAATTCCTCCACTTGCTGACCTACTGCTCTGGTTCCCAACCCCCTGCCTCTCTAGTTTAAAACCCTCTCGATTAGCACTAGCAAACCTCCCTGTGAGGATATGGGTTCCCCTCCAGTTTAGGTATAACTCGTCCCTGTTTACACATCACCCCTACCCCAGGAGCATGAAACCCTGTCCCCTGCAGCAGCTCCTTAGCCATGCATTAATCTGTCCTCTCCTCACTATTCCTTGCCCCACTAGCACGTGGCGCTGTGAGCAATCCAGAGATTACTACCCTTGAAGTCCTGCTTTTCAGCCTCTTTCCTAACTCCCTGTACTCACTCCACAGGACCTCATCCTTCTTTCCATCTATATTATTGATACCAATGTTCACAACAACTTCTGGCTCTGCAATCTCCACATTAAGAATTTCATGCAACTGCTCAGACACGTCCTTGACCCTGGCACGAGGGAGGCAAGACAGCACCCTAGAACATTGAACGCGGCCACAGAAGCATCCGTCTGTACCCCTAACTAGCGAGTCTCCTATCACTATCACTTGCTTGGACTTTGCTTGACCTGGTCTACAGCAGAGCTAATTGTGGTGCCACAGGCCAGGCTGCTGCTGTTATACTCCCTCAAGAAAGTATTTCCCCCCACCTATAACAGTATCCAAAACGGTAGACCTGTTTTTTTTGGGGTGCGGGAGGGATAGAATAGCGACAGGAGATTCCTGCACTACCTGCCTGTTTCTCCTGGTGATCATCCATGTACATGATCTACTCTTCTCTTTAGAAAAGAAATATCTAATTTCATTAAAAAAACCACATCACCTAGCTGCTATTCTTCTCTCTGGTTCTGGAGGATGACGATTGTGGCTGATGGTTTATAGATGCAAACAGTTTTACAGCTTTGTAATTAAGGTCAACGCTCTGAATTACCTACAGGTCATTTCCAAGCCGGTTGACATGGCACTCACCAAACTGTGTGATGCTGAATTACAAATTCAACACATTAGAAAATATTGCAAAATTACTAAATGACTAAATAAAATCGCTCTCAATAATATCAGAAATTACTATTAAATCTACTTATATTACAGAAATGTGATGGAGTCAGAGTTTTAATGGGAACATTACCGTGATTTTTTTCATTCAGCAGGTTTTTAGTCGCTGGTAGGAACATTTCCATCAGCTCAGGCACTTTTCTGATTACATGAACTGCACACAGTGCTGCCTGAAAAAAAGTTATCAACGAACTCAGACAATTTCCACACAGATCAAAGTCAATAATGCAAAAACTTTGTGACCATTTTAAACATGAATTTGAATAAGTTCACAACTTTGGTGAAATTTGTGTATAGAATTACATAAAATGGAATTTTAGATATTGTTGATTTAGTTATTAGAACATGCCTTTGAAAAGGTCTTACACAAGATAGCACAGATTCTTCAGTGTGGTATTTGACTCAAGGTAGAGCAATCAATTGATGTTAGCATTATCTATGCTAAATATTTTAATGGTGCTTTGAAAAGTTAGTGTCTCTACAACACCAATTTTCTGCTTTTCCAACAACGACCAACGTTGGAGGGTACATTCATTGACATAGGAAACATATGACTATTCCGTCCAGAGAACATATTGACCTTGCTCTAGAACACTTCACTAAAAACTACCAAACGAGCACCCACAGATGATCACCTTTTATCTGTCTTCACCTCCTGTACATTTAAAAAAAAAGCTCTGACTACAAGTCAGTTTCAATGAAAAGTTGGCAGCTGATATATTGATGCGATAAAGCAGTAAGTCCAGTAGCCCTGGTCAGAGGAGAGATCAAAGGACAAACAGTGGTGAAGCTCTGCATGTGAAGAATGATTATTCAAACAAAAACCAATACCACAAATCTTTAAATCAAAGCATTCCTCATTCAAACCAAACACTTAAAATGTAGGACACTACATGAAATTAACGCATAACATAAGCAAAGGCAGACAAAATCAAGTTTGTTGACATCTCCATTTCTTTATTCCACGTAACCTCCCAATGATGCATTGTACAACCTCCAAAGTCTAAATTTCCATTCTAAAGCTTTGAGTCCAATACTGTACATAAGTCTAAGGCCTTAAGGTCCATAATTACCTCAATTTTTATATTCTACAATTCATCACAAAAGGTATAAATCCACTTGATTTTGTTTTAGTAACCTTATTAACCCAAGGTGCTGCCTTTAAGGCTCAGGGAACCTGTAATCCCAAATGCCTAGGGTCTTGCATAGTACCAAACGTACCACTTTGATTCAGAGTATAATTACTTTAACAAAAATCTAAACATAAAACCTCATGGATAGACTTAGAATTCCTTCTATTTACTTCCTCACCTCCCAATTTTATTTTACAGTTACCTATGGTCTCAAAAAAATTAATGTTATACTCCTTATATTAGTACCTTCTCTCAATTTCAAGCCAATCACTCTTGCCAGGTGGCAAAAGCATTGATACTCAGTGAAGCTAAAAAAATCTTCAGCACCACTACTTGCAACTGCTAAGAAGCTGAAGTACATTTGCTCCTACCAATCTAATTAGTTATCCAGTTCGATGTCTTCCTCCTGAACCTTCATGATCTCCTTTACAGTACTCTTAAGTGATACCGTCAACTCCATGGATATTACATTTATTACAAAGTCCCAATCAATCCTCTCTTTTTGTCCTTCCTCAAATTCTTATGAATTTGTCAAATTCAAATATCACACAATTCTCTCTCAATATAGAATTCTTATCTTGTTAATTTATTCTACCACTTTCCACTTACTTCCCCAGTTTGAGCGAGAGGCCGTTTCACAATAATGAGACTGAGTTTACCCTAAAGGTCATTGCTTGTAACCTACAAACCTGTTTTTGTCATTGATGCTTTTTTCCTCAACAGATCATTAATTAGAAGACTGGTGGTGCAACTTCTCGTAAAAGGTGTGATAAATACATACATTTACCAGGGCAACAAAAAAAAAAAATTGAATTACATTTAAATGAGGAGACTTTTATTCAAGACTTCAGCTGTATATATCAGGCTAAATTAGAACAATTCAATCCAAAATGGGAGTCGAAGCTGCATTCTTCTGGGAAACAACTGCCATTTAATCCATGTTGTTTCAGGCCCAATTTCAATTTTAAACTGCCTACATGCAACTGACACTATAGCCAGTGTAAATGCATTTGAAAAGGCTATCAGTAAAACTGTAATACAAAGTTTGTTTACCTTCTTCCTCAGATAAGAGTTTGATGTCTTCAGTAGCTTTTCCACTTCACCTGCAAGATCTCTACACATTTCTGATGATCCCATACAGCCAAGAGTGCAGAGCGCCAAGCCCTGTACATACTGTGTATTGTGGTTCAGGTCACTGGAAACAGTTTGGAAAAAAAACATGATTTAGAACCAGGATGCAGTTTCACAATATGGACAGAATTATCATAATTGCTCCTTGACAAAAAATATTTTCAGATATAATCAGAGTTTAAAATTTTCAGTAAAGTCAAAAACCCACAAGTTAAAAAAGTGGACAGACATTTGATGAAAACCACTGTCAATAAGAATTAAAATTAAAACTAAACAAACAAAAATTAAAACCTGACTTCCTTTCAGTTTCCTTCTAACAATCTCTTTCCTTTTCCTTTCACAATTATAAACCAAAATTCTTTCACAAAAGAGCTGAATCCACAACAGCTTATCAACGGTCTCCTGGGTCATAAATCTGCACCCACACCACTGTGATTCTATTGTAGCATGAAGTTGACATTCATTGAGAAGGAATCGTGGTTACAGACTCATTCCTCTCATGACTCCCCAGCACAGAATATGAAACTACCAAGATGCTTAAAATGATCTGGCCTGGATCATGCTATTACAAGTTCATGTAGTATCTGCTGAAAGCACTTTTTTTTTTTTTAAAAAAAAAACACGCAGCTGGTCTGTGCACACAGTAAGGCTCTGAAAACCTTCAGCTATATAGGATATCCTCTCACTTGAGGTGTAAGATTGTGGATTAAACTCCAGAACCTGCTGTACAATCTGAATTAGCAGCCCTTTGAACAAGACATTACATCAAGGCATCAAAAGCAATCTAGCCTATAACTGGAAGAACAACGAGAAGTTGAGTGGCATAGGTGGATGGAGAGTGGCTGAAGCTTGGTGTTAGGGTATCACAGGTGTGAGGTAAGACAGTGGCTATCAGGTCGGCTGCCAAGGCATCCAAGGGGTTGGGGCAGTGATGGTCAAAGGACAGGACGGAGAGAGAAGTTTTGAATCTTTTAAACAAGGGAACAAAGGGTGCTATTGAAATAAACATTGCGCTGACAGTTTATTTCATTCAGAGCTGTACTTATCAAATATCAGATCTCAGAATCTCATACTTATGAATTACTTAGTTGCAGCATGTTAGACAAACATGCAACCACTTGTCTGCGAGAAGCATGCCTGATTACTTTTTTCCCCCCTTCTACAAGTGCACTATTTACTCTTTAAAAGTAAGTATTTGCCAATAAGTTATGCTTGTTATCTCAAGCCAGTTTAAACTGTGGTGTCAAAGCAATTAATGCTTTCCTTGTGTATCATGGTTTCAAGTTTAATGGAGAAATTAAGATTGTGGATATTGCTGAATTCTTTTAATTCTGCTCAAGGACCCATATGTCAACACAAAGGCAGAAGGTAATCCTACATGACTGCATTATCCAGTAAGAATAATAATGAAAAAACAACCCTCGAAAGAAAATCGCTAGAAAAGCTACAAAGAAAGAAATTATTATTTTGATACCTGCTGGGTACAATCTATAAGCCCTCCTTAGTCACTGTGGAGGCATCCAAAATCTGGAGAAACTTAACAAAAAGGAGGACATAAACCCAGTAATCAAAGGCCAGTAAGCTGAATGTCAACGGTAAGGTAAACATGAGATATGAGAAGACAATTGTCCCAGCATGTCTGTGCATACTCCCTGCAAGAGCAAATCATTCCACTTGGCCACCCTCTCTGTTGCCCTGCAAATTCACACAAGTTACATAGCCAAACCAGCCTTTGAAGTCACAATTAAATTGACCTCAGGTAGTGCAATCCAGATCCTAATCACTTATGAATGAAAAAAAGCTTTTTCTTGTGTCACTTCTGGTTCTTTTGCTAGTCACCTTACATTGGTACAATCAGGTTCTTGACCTTTCTGTTAACAGGAACAGTTTCTCCCAACTACTTTCTAAACCCCTCATAAACCTGAAGATTTTCTAAAAATCTTAACCTTCTGCGCTCTCAGAAAAACCTCAGCTTTTCCAAACTATCCATGTAACCAAAGCTCCTCTTCTTTGGAGGATCATATGAACTGTTTTTGTGCCCTCTCAAATGTATTACATAAATCCTAAGCACGAAGCCCAGAATTGGGCTCAGTACTTGAGTTATGGTTACAACTCTTATAAAATGGTGCATCAACCTTCATTGCATTCTTTCTTCCGGCCTCTATTTATAAAGTACGGGATCTATGATTTACTGAATCACTTTCTCAACCTTTTGATGATTTCTGCATAGACACTGCCAGGTCTCCATGACTCCTTTAGAAATGTAGCTATTTTCTAACCAACTGTTCCGAGAAGTTATTATACCCCTCTGGAGCAGGTTGATCAAACTCAGGCCTCCTGGACCACAGGCAGGAGACTACCACTGCACCACAACAGGTCCTACCCTTCAGAACAGTATTCTTTACATCTCTCCCTGTCCTTTTTAATAAAAAAGTGTGTTTTTGATTCATTCACAGAATGGGAGTATGGCTGGCTAGGTATTAATTATTAACTGCCCATCTCTAAATGTCCAGAGGGCAGTTAAGAGTCATGCACATCGTTGTAGCTCTGGGGTCCCACATAGGCCAAGTGGCAGCCGTTCTTCCATGAAAGACATCGGTGAACCAGATGGGATTTGCGTCAATCAGCAATAATTTCATTGTCATCAGTAGATTCTTAATTCTAGCTTTTTTCGTATTAAATTCAAATTCCACCATCTGCCATGGCGAGATTTGAACTTCGGTCCCGAGAATGAGTTTCTCGATTAATAGTCTAGCGATAATACCACTAGGCCATCATGTTTCCCTGCATAAAATTATCTGCCAGGTGTCCATACATTCCACTGACCCATTTACCTCCTCTTGATGCAATCATGAACACTACTTTACAAGACAGCTGTTTTGAAATATACCTTTAAACTCTAAGATTTTAGAGTAGATTTGTAGCTTGGGTTGTGGATATAGTGGTTGGTTGGCTCACCGAGCTGGTTTGTTGTTCCGCAGACATTTCACTACCCTGCTGGATAACATCAGTGCAGCCTCTGACAAGGAACTCCGTTGGAGACTGCACCGATGATGTTACCCAGCAGGGTAATGAAACATCTGCGGAACAACAAACCAGCTCAGCAAGCCAACCAACCACCTTAATACCTTTAAATTAAAGGCATACTCATGGGATCTGGTGCCATGGGGTGAGAATCTAAAATAGAAATCCATTTCAAGCAGGGAGGAAGTTTTCACAATAACTCAAAGGACAATTACTGTTTGGTTTATAGAAATAATTTTGGGTGAAGTGTCACGGTAAATTTTGACTGAGTGAAAGGGTAGGGGAAGTTAACCACTAACGTAGAGCTGGAATCCTACAAGAATATTGCCATAATGAATGCTACATATTTGAAGTGTGGAGCACAGTGAAAGGATTTCAATAAAACATTTTGTCGTGTCAGTTAATGCGAAAATTACTTTCTCCTTTAAAGTTATGTATTAGATAAAACATTAAACAGGCAGCAATGGCAATTTTGGCTTGGTTGTTACAGTGAAGGCCTCAGCATTGTTGGAAAAATTCATTTCCTTGTAAATCAGACTCTGTGGGTATCGCAACAATGTTTTAACAGTATCTTCTTCATTTTTCACAATACTTCAGAATTTTGTTTCAGTAACACATTAGGAAATTGCGCTCTCTACATACAGGTCTAACAATAAATATACATTAAACAATGCAGAAGTCTAGTACCAATGCCTGGAGAAATCCACATGAATTCTCCAGTCCAAAAAAAAACACCAACATTTTCCTTTTACTGATTCAACTGCATATCCACACTTCCTCTGTCTCTTTTATTCTGTGGGCTGTAAGTTTACTGACCAGCCATTACACACCACCTACTCTCATATCTTTTGAAAGTCAATGTAGACCAGATCAACAGTATTACACTTAACCGGCTGTTACTTCATCAAAAAACTTGTCAGTTAAACAAAAAAACTTGCCTTTAACAAAGCTGCATTGGTTTCTTTAAAAAAAAACAATGCCCAAGCAATTAATCATTTTGACCAAGGTTATGCCCCTACAAAAACTCTCTCACCACTGAGGTTACACTAATTAGCCTGCTATCACTGAAATTATCCTTTCACTTTTTTTGTACAACAGTGCAACTGTCGCAATTCTCTAGTCCTCTAGCACCACTCCTGTGCTGAGAGGAATTGGAGCGTTATCCAGTAACGCTGCAATTTTCACCTTTATTTCACTCAGTTCACCTGGCTTATGATGGTAATAGGAACACTGTCCATCTATCAAATACAGATGTGCCAAAACTGCACAGTGAAGATAATCACCAGAGTTTCAAGCCCAAGTACACAGTCATATGTTCCAACTAAACGTGACTGTAAGCAGCCTCGATAATCTATAAATTCATGAGTTGACTTGATGTGTAGCATTTATGTACTTGCATTTTTAAAAATGCAATAGTGCTTGAACCTGAAGATTTCTAAACTCAACTTCTGTGGTATGTAAAGATTGTTACCTGCTCAGTGCTAGAATCACTTGACGAACTAAAGAAATATAACCAACTGATATTAGATGGCAATACTAAATGCAAAGGAATGGCTAGATTAAATGAAAGTATTAAAACCTTGTCTCAGAAAGACACGATCAAATGATTAAAAACATAAATATTGTGAATTGCAACTAATTTTAGAATAACACAGCACTAAGTTTCAATTTGCTTTTAAAGGCACATGCAGTACTTCAGGTGTTTAACTATCATGGTGAAATAAAGCAAATATACAAACTGGCTGCTAATGACAATTAAATGAAGTTACTTTTTAAGATTAGCACTTACTTTTTAATACAGTTTGTCATGAGCAAGTGTACATCTTGCCTTTCATCAAGCAACAACATAGCACCAAGGTAACCAATCCGTTTGTCTGTAAATTTCTGAGAGGCAATCAGCTTCAGGCACTCCAACTGCAGTGAACAAAAACATGTAAAATATTTTATAAAGGCAAATTTGACTTTAAAACGATTCAGGAAGAGCAAAACAAATTCAAGCTCAAAGTAGTTTGTTAACAGGCCAGTCTAATCTCAGTGATGGGAACTACTGGAATTAATTCTGAGGGATATAATTAATCTGCACTTGGAGAGGAAAGGATTAATGAAGAACAGTTAGCATGGTTTTGTTCAGGGGAGGTCAGGTCTGGAAAACCAGGTGCATAGATGGGGACAATGCACTTGACATAGTCTGCTTGGACTTCAAGGATTTTGATAAGGTCTCGCATAGGAGACAGAGTGAAGGCAAAAGCTCATGGGATCCAAAAAAAATTTGGCTAATTGGCTGAGTGGCAGGAAGGTAATGATGGTGGAGGGCTGTTTGTTTGACTGGAAGCCTGTGCAAGTGTTGCAACTTGTTAATGGTATACATGATGATACAGACTTGAATAGAGGAGAGCTGACCAGTAAATTTGCAGATGATATGAAATAGGTAAGGTGGTAAATAGGGAGGAGAAAAGCCTTAGATTACAGGAGGATGTATACTGGCTGGTCAGATGAACCGATTGATGGAAAATTGAATTCAAACCAGATAAGTGAGAGATGATGCATTTCTTCAGGACAAACAAAGCAAGGGAACACATGAATAGTAGGAACTGGGAAACACGGATGATTACAGGGATCATCAAACATTAAAGGGAGTGGGTCAGGTAGATAAAGTGGTTAAGAAGGCATAGAGTTTAAGAGCAGGGAGGCTATGCTGGAACTGTATATAATATTTGTTGGGGATGTGATTGCACCAGAGAGGATTTGCCAGGATGTTGCCTCAGCTACAGAATTTAAGATAAGAGGGATCAGATAGACTGGGAATGTACAGGAATCTGAGGGGGAACGTGATTGAGATGTATAAAATTAGTGGGTGGATTAGTTAGAAAAGACAGGAAGAAACATCTTCCACTGTCGAGGTATCAATGGCCAGACAGCATAAATTCAAGGAAGGGGAAGGAAGTTTATAATGGTTGTGAAGAAACGATTTTTCACCAAAGAGGTTGGTGGGAATCTGGAACTCACTGCCTGAAAGGGTAGTACAGGTAGAAACCTTCAAAACATTTTAGTAATACTGCATTTAGATATGCACTTGCGTTGTCAAGGCATAAAAAGGCGGTGGGCCAGGTGCTGGAAAATTAGAATTAGTTAGTGTTTGGAGTGCAGGTTCATAGTTCCTTGAAAGTGGAGTCACAGGTAGATAGGATAGTGAAGGCGGCATTTGGTATGCTTGCCTTTATTGGTTAGTGCATCGAGTACAGAGTTCAGAGGTCATGTTGCAGGTGTACAGGACATTGGTTAGGCTATTTTTGGAATACTGTGTGCAATTCTGGTCTCCCTGCAATAGGATGGATGTTGTGAAACTTGAAAGGATTCAGAAAAGATTTACAAAGGATGTTGCCAGGGTTGGAGGGTTTGAGCTATAGGGAGGCTGAACAGGCTGGAGCTATTTTCCCTAGAGCATCAGAGGCTGAGGGGTGACCTTATAGAAGTTTATAAAATGAGAGGCATGGTTAGGGTGAATAGACAAGGTCTTTTACCTGGGGTGGGGGAGTCCAAAGCTAGTGGGCATAGGTTTAAGGTGAGAAGGGAAAACTTTATAAAGGGACCTAATGGGCAACTTTTTCCACACATGGGTTGGTGCTTGTATGAAAAGAGCTGCCAGAGGAAGTGATGGAAGCTGGTACAATTACAACATTTAAAAGGCATCTGGATGGGTATATGAATAGGAAGGATTTAGAGGGATATGGGCCAAATGTGACTAGATTAATTTAGGATATCAGATCAGCTTGGATGAGTTGGACCGAAGGGTCTGTTTCCATGCTGTACAGCTCTGTGACTGTGTTTTTGACCAGCGCAGACTTGATGGGCCAAAGCACCTTTTTCTGTGCTACTTTTATGACTGTGACTCTACCAATCCAAACTTAAGTGCTACCTTCATTTTTTTTGGTAAGTTAGGACAGACCACTTGTGAGAAAGCATAGGGAGAGGAGTCAATGACTTCCTGTTTAGATTTACTTTTGCTTCTGCTTCAAGTCAAATCAAATCTGTGTCCTGATATACAATACCACACAGGTAAACCTGCACCATTTAGAAATAACAATACCCGTATAAATTGAATTTGGGCATGCCTGGAAGATCAATAAGTCATTTCAAAAACAAAAAGGATTAAAACAACAACAAAAGCTAAAGGCACAAATGCTAGAGATGAGTTTCAAATCATTTCTAGGATATTTGGATAGTGTCAAAAATCTACTCAAGTCAAACTCAGCTTAAAAAAAGGGCTATGAATAATTCAAGAAAAAGAATAGAATTTAAGGGGTAATGTCTCACAGACATACACTAAGCTCACATAATTTCAGGATATATTATGACTTACTCCCCTTTTGCACAATTAAAGGTACATTGTCAATGTGCCAAAACATTCTGTCTGTAACGTGGAGCCACACCTGAAGCCAACCAGTTTTCATTAACTAGTACAGCACCATTGTTTCTAGTTTATTTGCCAAATCAACTTAAATCTGTGACCTCTAATCATCAACCATCCCACCAATGGAAGCAGTTTCACTTCACCTGTCTACACTTCATAATTTTAAATACCTCTAGCAAATCTCTTCTTTGCCTTCTTTGTTAACTGACTTAGCGCGTGTCCACTGATCTTGATAAACTTGTGCACAAACACCTTTGTTTTACTGCTCTGGCATCCCCTTTCAAATAGTACCAGTTAGGTTGGATTGCCTCCTCTCTTTCCTACCAAATGCATCAACTCACTCCTGTCCCAAATTTCATTTGCCATGAGTCTGCCCACTCCACCAATCTGTTATTAAGTAGCAAACCAGAACTATGGGCATTTTTCTTCCATAAACACACAGGAATATAATTAATTTTAATAGTGCCACAGTTACTCAGTCAACATTAGCTAACTCAATATATGCCAGATATCAAATATGAAGCCTCTTTGGACTGGGCTGCTCATCTAATCAACAACTAATTTAATGTGCATTGACATCTTCTTAAAAAGAAGTTTCCACAAAATAAATGGCAAATATAACATTAGCAGTTTACCTGACCAAAGTGTGCAGGATAACCTAACATGTGCATGTACAGTAGTTTTGCCACATTTCGACAGCGGTAAGTATTATCTTCTTCCCTGAATGAAGATCGAATTGAAGCACATTCCTTCTGTATCATCTCACGCTCCTCAGCTTGGGTCCTGGCTGTCCGGATAGTCCGGATTAGCTCCCGCAGTCTGATAGGGGCTGGCATCCTCTAGAGTTGAGAAAAAAAATCAAAATATCCTCAAACAAGATCCTGATGACCTTCATGGCTAGTTTTTTAAAACTCAATGATTTTAGACAGATAGATAAATTATGTTATTTTAACAGTGCAGCATAGCCATATGCCACACACTTCCATGAGCTTAAAGACAAACGTTGATGTAATGCCAAGAAGGCTCAATATAACAGAAGTGCTTCAAGGATGCAGAATTTATAAACTGAAAACAAAGCAAGATATAGCACTTTTCATTTGTTTGATCTCGTAACGACTTAACTGAACAAAGCAATACTATAAATACAGCATTAATTAAAAGAATGAACTGCAGATACTAGAAATCTGAAAAACAAATTTTGCTGGAGAAACTCAGCTAGTCTGGTGGTGTCTGTGGAGAGAGTGCAGAGTTAAATGTTTTGGGTCCAGTAGCCCTTCAGCTCTGGAGTGTAATTTCAGTTCTTGCTTTAACTGTTGCTTCTGTGAAACATTATGCCTAAATGATACATCTGAATTTCCAACGAATTTCAATGCACACCAAAACCTTGTGCAAGCCGCAAACCACAAAAATCAATGCAACAGTTAGGAAGGAGGAAAGCGCACACCTTTCTTATTGAAGTATAAAGACTTCAAAATGATTTCAAGCCATCTAGTCAGAATTCATGCACATTGGGCACAGTAAGTTTAAGAACACTGCTTCCTGTTGCACACCATTGATCAGATCCTGCCAACTTAAAATTAACCCATTTACGTCCACCCTCTACTTCCTATTAGCCAACTAACTGTCCTCCATCCAAACAAATGTGTTGTTGCCTAGACAATGAGCTCTTATTTTGCACAGCAACATTTGGTGTGTTATGTTACCTATGGGCAATCCACCCAGCCTGCACATCTTTGGACTGTGGGAGGAAACCAGAGCACCCGGAGGAAACCCACAGAGAGTTGGGGAGAATGTGCAAACGCCACACAGACAGACAGTCACCTGAGGGTGGAACTGAACCCAGGTCCTTGGCGCTGTGACGCAGCAGTGCTAACCACTGTGCCACCATGCCGCCCCTTCGGAGAAAATAGCTCCAAATTCGTTTCATTCTCGATGACTATCAATGAAACACTGGGCCAGAATTTTTGACAAATTCTGTAATTACATCTGGAGAGTTCACAAACATACAGCTTTACATAGAACTTTTTCCAGGAAAAAGAAAGTCCTTTGAAAGGACTAGAAATCCCGCAAATGCCTTGTATAGAAGCATACTGCAATAAAGGTTATAATTTGACTGCAAATGTTTTGTGGGTCTCTTCTAGTAAAATCAAAATAAGTTAAGTTATTAGGCTACATCAAGGAAAGGTCTGTTTTTGATCAGATTCCACAGAGGGAAACAGTACCAAAGATCACAAAATTAGATTGATTTCAGTTATATGAAATCAAAATTAACTGATGGAGCTCAGAGGATAAGTGTTGTAAGAAAGAGAATACTACAAGTGGAGCCACGTGAAGTACCTACTTTGGGATCTCTTACTACCTTCATAAACGGTGTAGAGGTAGAAGTCACAATAAGAACCTCAGCACCTTTCGTGTAATGAAACACTTCAAGACTTCACTAGATAATTAAGTTTAACGCTCAGCCTCATAATTCTATTTTCAGGAAGATGACTAAAAACCTTAGTAAAGGAGGTAGGTTTTAAAGGAGCAACTTAGAGTGGAAAGCGGTAGAAATAATAAAAGGTTTGCAGGGGAGTCTAGAGCTTATAGTTTTACTAGCTAAAAACCATGGCCACCAAAGGCAAAACAATTAATGTTTGGGATGGTCAAGAGACCAGAATTACAGACAAAAGTTGTGGAGCTTGAAGAGTCCAGATTTAGGGAAAAATCAAGGCTATCAAGGGGACCAAAAGCCAGCAACAGGACTTTAAACTCAAGGTTTTGCTCCTCAAAACCAGATCAGATCAATGAATAAGTGCAGGATGGTGGTCAACAGAACTTAGTACGAGCAAGAACACTTGCAGAGTTTTTGGATAAACTCAGGTTTAGAAAGGGTAGAAATAATCCTGCCTCTGGGCCAGAAGGTCAGAGTTCAAGTCCTATTTGGCCCAGAGGTGTGTCACAACTGGTCATTTTTGTAAACTTCCTCTGGACCACCTCCAAGGCCAGCACATCCTCCTTTAGTCACAGGGTCCAAAACTGCTCACAATATTCCAAAAGCAGTCTGACCAGATCCTTATACAGCCTGAGCAGTACATCTCTGCTCTTGTAATCTAGATCTCTTGAAATGAATGACAATGTTGCATTTACCTTAACCTGCCAACTCCTTCTGTTCATTCTTAATGAAATCTGGAGCTTGGTCTCAAGTCCTTTTGTGCTTCAGATTTCCGATTTAGAAAATCAGCCTGTGCGTCTAATCTTCTGACCAAAATGCATTACTTCACACTTTCCCACACTGTATTCCAACTGCTACTTCTTTGCTCATTCTCCTAGCCTGCCCAAGTCCTTTTTCAGCCTTCCCACTTCCTGAACACTACTTATCCCTCTACCTATCGAGTCACCTGCAAACTTAACAACAATGCCCTCAGTCCCTTCGTTACTGCACAACATGGTCCCAACACTGACCCCTGCAGAACTCTACTGGTCACCAGCTACAATGCTGAGAAAGGCCACTTTAACCCCACACTCTGCCTTCTGCTAATCAGCCAATACTCTATCCATGCCTGTACCTTGCCTCAAACCGCATGGGTTCTTATTTATTTAACAGCCTGCTGTGCGTCACCTTGGCAAAAGCCTTCTGGAATTCAAAACAGATTGCATCCACTGGCTCTCCTTTGTCTAACTTGCACAGTATGTCCTCAAAGAATTCTAACTGATTTGTCAGGTATGACGTCTCTTTGACAAAGCCATGTTGACTCAGTCCTATTCTACTATGCAATTCCATTACTCTGCAATCTCATTCTTAATAATACAGAATCTAAAATCTTAACAACTGAGGTCAGGTCTTAACAACTAACTTCTGCTGCCCTCCCTTCTTAAGGATGGGGGTGTTCAAAACGAAAGGGCATAGTTTAAAGGTGAAAGAGGAAAGGAAACCAAAAAGTAACATTTTCACTGAGAGGGTGGTACATGTACGAAATGATCGGCCAGAAGAAGTGGAGGAGGCAGGTATACATTTAAAAAGCATCTGGATGAGTAGATGATTAGGAAGGGTTTAAGAGGGATGTGAGCCAAATACTGGCAAACCAAACTAGATCAGATAAGAGATAACAGTGTGGAGCTGGAGGAGCATGACAGGCCAGGCAGCATCAGGGGAGCAGGAAAATCGGCGTTTTGGGTCAGGACCCGATTAGATCGGATTAGGATGTCTGGTCAACACAGACAAGTTCGACCAAACAGTCTGTTTCTGTGCTGTATGATTCTATGACTCTATGGTGCATGCTAACGAAGATCAATCATTAAGATCAATTGGCAACACAGTCATAGGGAAAGTAGATGGTTGGGAATCTAAAGATTGCTTCCAATAATCACTAACGTACTTACCTAACAAACATCAATATCAAGTATTGAAAGCTCAAATTGAATCAACAGCGACAGCTTACCAAAGGAAAACAATTCCAGGTTTTTACTATCCCTTGCAAGAAAAGTTTTGTCCCAGAATCACCTAGCACCGACATTATGATTTATTGGTTCTTGATTCATCCACTAGAGGAAACTATTTCTTTGTATCTATCTTATCAAATCTTTCAATAGCTTGAACAGATCTCCCAAGCTTCAAAACTCAAGCAGTCTTCATAATTTAACGCTTTAAACCCCCTATCAGGAAACCATGCAGCTACCAGGATGGCAGAAAAGAAATACAGAAGCCACTGTCAGTTTTCATCTCGTGATTCCTGTGAAAGCTTGAAGAATGTCTCAACCTTCTCAATTAAAAGCTGTATTAAAAGTATCACCTAAAGAACCAGAAAGAAGCAGAACTTCAAGTTCTCAAAACCAGTATTTGTGCACTTCAAAAGAACATCATATGCCATACCAAGATCATTTCAAACACAATTGCTTCAAAATGTAACAAGTAATTTCTGTGGCAGAATATTTCAGAAACAGTGTGAAAATCTTATGATTGTCACAGATTCTCAAATCACTACCTGCAGAAATATTGACAAGATTATTGGGTTGCAAAGCCTTTGAGACAATAACATGACATTCATCAATTTTACTGCACTCTTGCGGCTGATACCACAAACATTCAACGAGGCATCACTGCATAGGCATAGTTAGTCAAATCTCACTTGGAAGATTTGCTTTTAAACCAAATAACCTCACTATAGCAAGCCTATGGCAATCAAAAATATTTGTCCTAATGAATAGATCATTTAAATGAATTGCTCATCCTTTAACATAGTCGAGACTCTCTCAATACTCAACTTCTTACAAATATTTCAGCAGATATCTGGATCTTCCGCTTTTAAATTATGTAATCCAACTAAAATATTTCCAGCGTACAATCTTCGATCAATTGTACCATTAGACTTTAGCAGTTTTAGCTTTAAACATTTTGGTTAAAAACAAACTGGTATTTATCTTTCACAACCTTAGAACACCCAAAAACAGAACAACCAATTAACTGCTGTTGTACAGCAGTTTTTGTTTGCAGGGAAACCTTAGCAGCTCAGAATTGAGTATCTGAGACATGTGAATTTGCAGCAAAAAAAAAAAAAAAAAAAAGTGTATTCAAACACAACTGGTAGCTTACTGATCACGAATATTCCTCTCACAATCTCAGTACCTTCGTGCCAGGGAATGGAACCTGGTCAAATACAGAAGTAGAATACAGGGCATGATTAACAACAATGAGATGCCAACTTGAAGTTACTAAATGCATCCAAAACAGAAACGGTACGCAATAGTCAGTGATCTTATGGCCTACTTATCACATATAATCATGAACATGAATAATAAATCAAAGGAACAAGTAGTGATGGCTCCATCAGCATCCTCAAATGATAAGGATCCCAGCAATTTAACGCAAAGACAAGGCTGAAACATTTGCAACCATCTTCAACCAGAGGAGCAGAGTGGATGGATCATCTTGGCTGGAGATCCTCAGCATTAGAGATGCAAGCCTTCAACAGATGAAGGCGCTGGATACAGCTAAGGCTGTAGGCCCCAAGAACATTCCAGCTGTAGTACTGAAAACTTGTGTTCCAGTTTAACTGCACCCTAGCTGAGCTGCTGCTGTACAGCCACAACACTGACCAACATTTCAACAAAGTGGAAAATTATCCAGGTATGTACTTTTTATTGAATTTTTTCATGCTTTTTCCTCAAACATATCTATTTAATGTGCCTTTTTTGCCACAGTTTCTGAGTATAGGAGTTGGGAGGTCATGTTGCGACTGTATAGGACATTGGGTTGCCTACTATTAGAATACTGCATGCAATTCTGGTCTACCTTCTATAGGAAAGATGTTGTGAAACTCGAAAGGGTTCAGAAAAGATTTACAAGGATGTTGCCAGGGTTGGAGGGTTTGAGCTCTAGGGAGAGGCTGAAAAGGCTGGAGCTATTTTACCTGGGACAGAGGCTGAGGGAAGACCTTATAGGAGGTTTATAAAATCATGAGGGGCACAGATAAGGTGAATAGTCAAAGTCTTTTCCCCAGGGGAAGGAGAGTCCAAAATTAGAGGACGTAAGTTTAAGGTGAGAGAGGAAAGATTTAAAAGGGACCTAATGGGCAGCTGTTTCACACAAAAAGTGTGTGCGGTGATTTCCTTTGAGGAAAGATTCAGTAGGTTGAGCTTATACTCATTGGATTATAGAACAACTGGGCATATTACTGAAACATAACATGTTCTTAGGAGGCACGAGAGGGTAGACACAGAGATTGCCTCTCCATGTGTGAAAGTCTCGGACAAGAGGGAATAATCTCAGAGTACGGGTCATCCATTTAAGACAGCGATGAGGAAGTTTTTTGACGGCTGTCAAGTCTGTCAATTCTTAACCACAGAGGGCTATTGCGTCTGTGCATTTAGGTATGTTTAATGCTGAAATGGACAATTTTTAATCAGTAAGGGAATCAACAGTTAAGGAGAAAATGACAGGAAAGCGGAGTTGAGGATTATCAGATCAGCTATAATCTTACTGAATAGTGGAGCAAACTTGTTGAGCTGAGTGACTTATGATCTTATGACCTTGTGGACGCTGCTGAATTGGATGATCTCATTGGAAGCATTCAGTATTATAGCTGTGTACTCGTCTTCTCCTAATTTCTTGATTGGGTTGGCCCTCAGCTTGAGCTTAGGCTTGAAATAAAGTTCAGCTTTGAGCTAACTAGCTGGAGGTCTCTACTGCAGTCACCCACTAGGTATGACTTGAGCATGCAAGACATAATTTATGTCACAGTGATGCAACAGGATAGAGTCTTGGGTGCCAGTATTTACAGGCAGGGATGTATCCTGGGGTCTTGAAGAAATTGTATTGTTGAAATGTGTTGATCACAGCCAGCTATTTGGCACTGAGTTTCAAGCACAGACCCTTGTATTGATTCAGTTTCCAGTGGTTTCTGAGTGTTCCCTTAAATGCCAGACTGTTGTAGTCAATTCTAGTGTTGGAAACATCAAAGCTGATAATTGTGTTCTTGGGATGGTCATTTTGAATGAGTTCCATGATTGATTTAGAACGTATCCACATCAGCAGGGTTTGCCTTCATGACTTGAGCATACACACACCAGTGCTGCATGCTGCTGGTCTTGTTAGGGGACACACAGGCAAAATTATGCATTCAGAATAGCCAATCAGTAGACTTGAAAGTTTGGTGGTAATAGTTTGAGATACTGTTCAGCTCCAGGTCTACTTGACGAGTAAACATTGCAGCCAGTATTGTGTTATCAGACTGCCTCTGTTCAAGAAGCAAACATCACTCGGAGTGAATATATCTGGTCTGACTAACTCTTGGGCTACAAGGGCAGGGCACTGCTGGAAGTGATGGACCGCCAAAGTCGACCATATTATAATAGACAAACTTCAAAATTTTTCTTTTCTCACCTTTTGGAGTGAGGTCTTTTTTTTGTCAGTTTGGTTTCATTAACAGATGCCCAGTGACCATTGCAGGCTAAGTGGATGGTGGGAAGATGAGCATCTGTTCAGGCCACTTTCTCCAAGTCCCTCTCCAACTAAGAAGCAAGCAGCAGACTTCTGCTTCAAAAGCTCTTCAAAGGCTGCTTGTTCACTCAGTATTGACCAGCTGACATTATCTCTAGGTCAGCAAAACGATCAATATCCTGAGCCACCTGCACGCAGGACTGGAACTGTGGCTCCGAGTGTCAACCTTACACCTGCTGTTTTTGCCCCTTTCCCACTGCTATAGGTCTTTTCGTGTTGCAGCTAAAATGGACTTTGTTTCACTCCTGCTCACACAAGGGAGTTTTGAGGTGGAACAGTTCCACAGCTAACACTACCCTCGAGCCTACAGCTCATGTCATGGCCAGTGAGCTATGAATCTTAATGGATTCAGGTGTCGCCCTTTACTTAGGTAGGTTGCTGACCAAGGCTCAAAATTAACTTTTCTTTCCTTCATACTTTATCCATGGCTGGTAAACAAACAAACATACAAACATAATCCATGGATATATGGCATGGCATACCTTTGGTCCAGAACATAATTGCTGTTTTGGCAATTTGAGACATTTGGAATCTTTTCATCCTGGTCTTGATTATCCTGATCAAGGAAGACATCCACAAGTGCTATCATTTTCATCTTTTCTCACCTCATTATGATTTGTCTGGCAACTGGTGAGCCAGAGTGTGGTGCTCAGAGCCGGCAAAGAGTTGGGTGCTGAAGAGGGCAGTGAATCCAGTCCACTCCAAAAACAGGCTGAAACTGACTAAAGGTACAAGGTTAACATCTCTATCTGAAGTTGACAGGTCATCAACACCAGAAAAGCATGGATTTAAGGGCAAAATGTTTTTTTAAAAACTTGATTAAAGGTTTTATTTAACGAGGTAACAGATGATTCACTAAAGAAATGCTGTTGATGTGTTGAATATAGGAGACCCAAGAGGCATTTGATGAAGTGCCACAAACCAGGCTTGAAAAGCAAGATAAAAGCAATAAACCAGAAAGGGAGAACAGCTGCTTTTTCGACAAAAGGAAAAATGCTACTATTTTCTTTCATCTATATTAATGAGTTAAGCATGGGTGTATGATTTAATAGGTTGCAAATGACAGTAAACTTGAAAGTATTGTAAACAGAGGGAGGAGGATAGTTATAAACCTCAAGAGAACATACATTAGTGGAATCAGCAGATATGCAGATTAAATTTAACGAGTGAAGTGACTCATTTTAGTGGGGAGAATGAGGTAAGGCAATATAAAATCAAGAATACAATTCTAAAAAGGGGTAGCAGAAGGACTGCAGGAATGTTTGTATCTAAAGGTATGTCTAAAAGAAACGTCTAAGGTAGTTGGGTGATGATCATTCAGAAAACAACAGCTTGGCCTCAACTGGAATATGTTTAACATCTAATATCTAATGCTGTATCTAATCTAGGCACCACACTTTAGGAACAATCTGAAGTTATTAGACAGGGTGCAGAAAAATTTTACAAGAATGGTTCCAAGGATTGGGATTTTCAATTAGAAGTAGAAGCAAGGTTTTATTTACTTTTTGATAGATTGTTCAGAACCGAAAGGTTGACAGGAAAACCTGCTCCTTGTTTGATGGCTAAGAACTAGAATTGATTCAAAGGTGGCTGACTAAAAAAACAATGGTGACAGGAGGAAAATGTTATGTAGTCAATGATTAGGATGTAGACTGCACTGCTGCTGTGGGCAGATTTAAAGCTTTGAAAGCAGAATTGCATATACCGAGAGGAAAAACTTCAGGGTTACAAGGATAAAGGTAGACACAATGGGAGAAACAGCGTCCTTTTAAGCTGTGTTTGATGACTGCATGACCTCAGTTCCAGGCCTATGAGGAAGGTGGTCCTCAGGTTAGTCCCCTACGCCCAACCACCTTGAGCTGTTTCATTCATGACCTTCATTCAACCATAATGTCAGAAATTGAGGTATTTGTTGATGCAGCGTTCAGTGTTATCCACAGCTCAGATACTGAAGCAGATCATACACAAATGTAGAAAGACCTTGTCAGAATTCAGACACTCAAGCTCAGATTGACAGGTGGCATCTATCATTTGTTCCAGAAAATGGCCATTTCAAAGAATCTCCCAACTCCCCTCAATGTTAACAGCATGAACATCGCTGAATCGCCTTCCAACAACATCTGGATAAACAAATATAGCCAGCCTCAAAACAACTACAATAAATGGCCAAAACAGAAATTCCTAGAGAATCTCAGTCTAGCAGCATCTGTGGAGTGAAACCAAATTTAACATTGAGTCCGGTGACTCAAGGCGAACAAGAGATAGATAGACAGCATTACTGATAGTAAGCAAGGGAAGAGGAGAAGTTAGATAGGTGATAACAAGGACTATTAGTAGTTGAAAATGGGATTCCATGCTGAAAGCAACCCATTTCAGGACAGGAACTGCAGTAACGGGCATGGAGGAGAGTGGTCAGATTCTGAAATTGGTAAACTCCATGCTGAATCCTAAAGGCTGTAAGGTACCCAAGCAGAAAATGAGATGTTGCCCCTCCAGCTTACATTGAGCTTTGCTAGAGCAATGCAGCAGGCTCAGGGCAGAAATGTTGGCACTTTGTCCCACTTTTCCCAGTTTCTCTGTTGCATGTTTAGATGATGCCAATTTCAACATTATGCCCTCAGACAATGTCTACCTTTCTTCTCAACTGAGGACTCCCTGTTATCGTGGTCGATGGCCCTGTAATTCTGCCCTCATCCCTTTTCTTCCCTCCCACAATAATGATGGTGTCTCCTTTGTCTTCACTTTCCACGTCACCAGCCTTCACATCCAACGGATCATAAAGCCGCCATTTTTGGCACTTTTAGCAGATGCCACCAAACACGCTCCCCTCCCTTTGTTTGTCAGCATTCTGCAGGTACCGTTCCCTCTGGGACACCCTGGTTCACTTGTCTTCGGCCAGAGTGTGGCGAATCTATGGAATTCATTGCCAGAGAGGTGTGGAGGTCAGGTCATTGAGTATATTTAAGACAGAGACAGATAGGTTCTTGATTGTCAAGAAGATCAAAGGTTATGGGGAGAAAGTGGCAGGATGGGGTTCAAAAACTTATCAGCCATGACTGAATGGCAGAGCAGACACTATGGGCCGAATGGCCTAATTTCTGCTCATATTTCTTATGGCCTTCAATTCCTAACATCTCCCCTCAGCTCAGCTCACCTCACCATCCAAGGCCCCAGACACACCTTCCAGGCAAAGCAGTAGTTTACGTGCACTTCCTTCAGTTTAGTCTGCATTGTGAGCACTGTTTACTGTAGTCTCTTCTATACTGGGGAGATAGGAAACAAGTGAGGGTTCACACGGCAGAACACCTACGTCCTGTCCATTAAAGAAAAATGGCCCTAGCTTCCAGTTGCCTACCAATTCAACATACCACCATGTTCCCATGCCAACATTTCTGTTTCAGGCCAGCTGCAGCACTTCCAAATCAATGCTGGCTGAAGGAACAGCATATCATCTATAGAAGCGCCTTACAGCCATCAGGACTCAACACTGTGATAAAAGCTACAAAAGAAAATTGAATTGATCTTAGAAGACTAAAAACCTGCTTTCACTTTAACAGAGACACTTGTAATTAATGAAATGCCTTATGTTTACTCTTTTGAGAAAAACCAGTATCTAGAATATAGATGCAGGGCTCCGAAATTCATCAAGTATTTGCCGTCTTCTAGGGAGAGCAATGTTCTTTCAAACGAAAGCAGTTAGTTACATAGCTGCCTTTTGCTTCAGTTTCAAGTTTTAACACATTGCAAATTTTAAATTTTAAATTTGCAAACGTACACAATTTGCTGACATCTAACTTTTATGATCCACACAAACTATACACGTAGCACATTTGTCTGTTTACAAAGCCCTGGATATCCTGCACAATTACAAACAGCAACAGAAGGATCATGGGGTTCAAGTCCATAGCTCCCTGAAAGTGGCTATGCAATTAGATAGGGTGGTAAAGGTGTATTGTGTGATTGCCTTTATTGGTTAGGAAATTGAGGGCAAGAGTCAGGATGTCATGTTGCAGCGTTATAAGACTTTGATTAGGCTACACTTACAGTACTGCGTTCAATTTTTGTCACCAAATTAAAGGAAGTATGTGGAGGCTTTGGAGAGGGTGCAGAAGAGCTTTATCAGGATGCTGCCTGGATACAGAGAACGAGCCATGAGAGGCTAGAAAAACTCAGGTTTTTTCTCTTGAGCGGCGGAGACTAAGGGTAGACTTGACAGAAGTTTGTAAAATTATGAGATGCATTGACAGGGTTGACGGTTAGAATCTTTCCCCCAGGGTTGAAATGTCTAATAGTAGAGGGCATGCATTTAAAGGAGAGAGAGGAAACATGAGGGGCAGTTTTTCATTTTTTTTATATACAGAGTGGTAAGAACTTGGAATGCATTGCCAGTAGTGGTGGTGGAGGCAAATACGATATGGGCATTTAAGGGACTTTTAGATAAGCACATGAATATGCAAGAATGGTGGGATAGGGACCAAGGGCAGACAAAAGGGATTAGTTTCATTTGACATCATGTTCAACACAACATCGTGGGCCAAAGTGCCTGTTCCTGTGCTGTACTGTGCTATCCTGCACAATTACAACAGCAACTTGCATTCACATTATAGCTGTTCCATAAAGTAAGGACAGCTTTGTTTACTTTCTATGGAGATGGACAATGAGCAAGTAGTGCATAAAATTAGATGGGTGAGGATGATAGCTAGAGCAAATACATCAAGAAGTTAGTCCTGAAAAACTTTGGGAGATGAAGTGATAGTAACAGTGCTTCCATAAGAAAATCTGATGAGGGTAGAAACAAAGGCTTGCAGCTTGAAAGTGGCAACGGCAAGAGTGGTTACTGATCACTATCTGGGATTAAGGAGGAAAATTTCATGTTGGTTTCCACATAATCTTCCAGTGATTGTGAATTTTGAAGGAAAACTGAACTATGAAACAAGGAAATGTTCATGGCCTTGGAGGTCAAAGTGGGTACGGTCTGTGATGATTGCACAATATTCAGTACCGTTTAAGAGTCCATATTCGAATGCAGCAAAATCTGTACAATATCCAGGCTTGGGCTGACAAATTCCAAGCAATATTTGTATTACACAAATGCCAGACATTGGCCATCTCAGACAAGAGAAATCTAACCACTGTCCTTGACATTCAACAACATTATTTCGATGAATCCCCACTAACATCTGCTGGTTACCACTGAGCAGAAACTGAACTAGTCATATCAATTCAGTAGCTAAAATAACAGTTTAGAGGCTAAGAATCCTGCAGCAAGTAACTCACCTGACTCCCCAAAATCAGCCCACCATCTGCAACACGCAAGTCAAGAGTCTGATGAAATACTCCCCACGAACATTAGAGAAACCTGTTACCATCCAGAGCAAAGCAACTCCCCTGACTGGCACCCCATCCACATCTTTCAATATTCACTCCCTTTATTCCAAAGTACAGTGACAGTAACATGCACCATTCATAAGATTCACTGCAGTAACTTATCAAGAGCCCTCTGATAGCACCTTCCAAACTCCCACCATTTAGAAGGACATGGGTAGCAAGCATATTGGAAGATCACTACTTGCAAGTTCCTCTAAGCCACATGCCATTCTGACCCGAAACTGCACTGCCATTCTTTCATGGTTACTACGTTAAAATCTCAGAGCTACTACTCTAAGTACAGTTCCTCCATTTCAGCTGACCATCACCTTCAGTAAGGTAATTAGGAATTAGCAATAAATCATTTTAAAAATTCTTAGGGTTAGGAGTGGATGCAATTTTTAAATTATGGTAACTATATTTGCACATCCCTCACATATTACTGTCCACTCTCTAAATATGTATCAATCATTTAATATTGGAGGTTAAAGGATCAAAGTTGATATAAGCAATATGTAAATGAAATTCATCCAGCTCAAATCAAATGTCATCCAAGTTCTAAAAGGTATACAATAATTATTTCAGCCAGTCAATCCACAGACTCCAAAGTGATGCTGAAAGCAATTAGTCTTAATTCTTTCAATTGCAAATTAGATAGACATTTGTCAAAACAGCATTTGATGATATATTAATTTGAGACATGGTAAGCTGTGCGCAGTGGACTTCAAAGGTTACTTTAGAACTTTGATTGGGCTTTTCTCAGGATATTTCTAAGTTTATTGTCAACTATAGTAATTGATAGAGAAATGTTATTTCAACAACTCCACTCGAGTCCTCTCACATTCAAAACAACTTTGAAGATTAGATTTGTCAGGTACTTTAAAGCCAGTGTCCATCTATATTTACTCCAGAAAGGAACTAAAAGGAAGGAATACAAGGTTATTCTTGGTTTAAAATTAGCATTCATGTCAAAATCACTCCACACCCTCAATGAGCCCAATACTATACTTCAGCAGTCCGAAAATTCGGCCAAGAAATGTAAATACTTTCATATCAGTGAAAGGCAAAATATTGCAGATTCTGGAAATCTGAAATAAACATAGAACACTGGAGAAATTCAGCAAACCTAGCAGCATTGGTGGAAAAAGAGACATTTAACGTTTCGAGTCTGAAATAACTCTTCAGAACATTTTTAGTTCTTTGAACAATTCTTTTCACTATTGGTCTCGAGCATTCCCAATTTCCACTGCCCCACCATGTCTATATAGACCCTGAATTTTGGTTTCCTGCTGACACTCTTTAACAACCTCTTTTTTAAGCAATCTGACACAGCATCTCCTTTTATGGTTTGATGTCAAATTTTGTCTGATTATACACCTGCAACACGTGGGATATTTTACCAGGCTAAAGGCTCTATATAACCATTAGTTGTTGCTGTCCTCAACTAGCGCTTACTGTCAAAGCTCATGAGTATTACAAAAGTGCTTCTATAAACATGGCACAGAAATCTGTGCATTGTTCAAGTTTTTCTCTAAGAATAAATTACAGCTTAAAGAGGAATATGGACCAAAGCTCCCTCAAAACATATGCAATATGATTCTTGATCAAATGTATAAGACACGAAAGGCAACTAGTTTTAATAATGTTTACCAAGTCCCTATATACATTAATATAACAATTTCTAGGTTATTCCACAATTCTGGATGCATTTTTTTCCCAATAACCTTTTCTTATGTAGTCACATTATAAATGGTCACTTGCCTCTATCAACACCTCTTTGCATATTTCTGAAGACCGTGCACAAACATCAGTGGAACTTATAATGCAAATATATTAAACTACTTGCTTTTATAAGAAATACTTAAATCAAACAATGTAATTCTTTGCTTGAAAACTGTATCGCTGATGCAATAATCAAACTGCAGCTTTTTTGTTTAAAATACACTACCAAAACATGTTCTTGGAGTGAGGGAAATCAGTTGAGCTCCACAAACCTGATCCCAAATAAATGAACTAATTTAGTATAACTCAGCATAAAATCAGCATTTTACACAGTTGGTGTTTATAAATACATAAATTATAGTTATTAATATTTTCAAATTCTGAATCCCTGTATTAATCAGTCAAATTAATAATAGTTGAATGTTAAACTGCCTAATGTTAGCACAAAATGCTGTTAGGCCATATCGACCACTTGTTTGTAATGAGCACGGTTTTACTTCAAAACATTTAAAGTATGTATAGTTCTGAAGTATTCACACGATCTTAAAACGTTTCATGGTCTCAGGATATCAGAGTGTTTACTTTTTGGAAAGCCGAAACTATCATAATCAGACAGAAGCTTTACTACAAAAGCATCACTATGAAAATCACTGTTGAGCAAACTGCAAATGCGTATAAATATACATTATACGAACATTCATGTTAATCGTTGGCACCGTATTCATTTCAATCACGACTTTCCAACGATAAAAACGCAATCAGCTTAGAGCAACATCCTCCAACACCAGATATTACAACCTGATTAATGAAATGACCCTGCCGTTAGTGAAACTTCAGAGATAACAATAAATCACAAAATAAAAGGCTAATTGTAATTATCGGACATATAACTCAATAGTATTAGAAATTATTACTTGGCTACACTTCAACAAGTTCCTAAACAACTCTGCTCCCATTTCCTATCGACACAATCCGCGAAGATGCAATGACCCAGAGAAGGAATCAGTTAACAGAGCGTCTATGTAAAACTCCTATCGCGTCATTAGTGAAGACCCGACACTGCTCTCACAAAATAGCTAGCTAACAGGAACGGAAGCTCTCAAACAACGACTGATAAAGGGAATACAACAACAAGGGAAACAGGAGACAGAGGGAAGGAGTGGAGGTAGCGACGGGGACAGCAGCACCAAGTGCTCAGGCTCAGGCTCCGGCTCCGGCTCCGGCTCAGGCTCCGGCTCCGGCTCCGGCCCCAGCCTCCCGGTAAGAAGACAACTACCACAGCGGGGAGGGGACAGAGGCGCATTACAATAGGGAAGAGAAGTACATAGTAACAGGCTAAAGCACAATACTACAACAAAGACAAAAGACTTCAGAGACGGATAAATCCTCGAGTGATTTCGAGCCACCTACCAGCCGATCGGAGCTCTCCGCACACAGACAGGGAGGAGAGGGGAGGGAAGGGTTAGGGGGTGGGGAGGGGAGAACCTGGTCACTTCAAAATGGCGGCGACTCCAGCCTCAGCACCTTCCACCCGGCGCGGAGCATCACGCTGACCTTTTCCTTCGGGGGAAAAGAAGGACTCTAACCGAAACATACACCATACGCGTATTTTTAACTGCTTTAAGGAAGAAACGAAACACAATTGTGTAAGTTGACCAATCTGGACAAAACCCCGTTTCATTTTGACGGCAAATATACCGAGTTGGCCACATGAGGAGGGTTTATTTGTTGTGTAAACCGCGGACGTGGTTGACATAGTGAAGGAGTGATGCGGGTTTACTCGTGGCAGTGGCTGATGACGTCATGACGGGCCCGGCGCAGACGCGAGATCACGTATCCTGGGTTGAAGGTCAATCTGATCACGTGTCTCGGTTGAAGGTCGGAGGATCCTGATCTGTGATGTCGTCCTTTTACAGGTTAATATCTAGAAACAGGAGCAAGTGAAAATAGTTGATACATTATTAACAAACCGTATCTGAATCGTGTGATAGACAGGAGCTTTCTGATCGTTGGCTGGGAGAATAATTTTTCAACCGCTGGTAGTTTGATCAATTTTCATAAGGTACCTGCAGGAGTATGGTTAATACCAATGTCCCTCCAGTTTGTCAATTACACAGTACTTCTTCACAAGTAGGCATTAAATTAGGACAAAGAAAAAGAGTTAAGTTTTCAAACAATTTTAATGCATCGGGTACTGTAATGACCGAGACGACTGAAATTTTTGGCATCCAAGTACGTACCTGGGCCAACTGACTTGTGGATATGACAACTCTCTCACTGAATTCACATCAGAACTGATCCAGTCTTTCATCCGTTTTATTATGTCCCTCATTATCTTAATTGCAAAACACACAAATATTTGCTGTGTAAGATGTTTTTATTTCTACCAGCATAAGAATTGAACCACAACAGTAATAAGTAGTACCTTACTCTCACAACCTTTGAAATTATTGGGGCCTTTCTCTTGATATAACAAATCTCATGCATTACATTGTACCTCATGGCATCATAAAACATGTGTATGCTCACATAAATTTTCTGCTGTGGTTCAACTTGACAGACCACTAGGAGACACCAGGACAGATTATATTCTTTTATTCATACATACACAAGGAGAGTCAGTCTTAACTATTCTAAACTGAACTCTGGCAGAAACCCAGAAGTTCTCATCTTTTCAACCCTTTCAATCACATACTAAATTTCTAATCTGATCAATTTATGACAGTATGTTAACCAGATGTACATATTGTGGGAAATAAGTAACATCAGGCACTGTTTGTGTACACACAACGCCTCATCTATTCGAGCTAATTGTGAAGTCTAGTCTGTGACCTTGTTTGTATCACTGACACTTTGCACTAGTTTAGTTCCTTATCCAGTCTAGAGTGTACCTGCACGTTGCCTGTTCTGCTTACGTTTATTTTAACTAAAAATACTTATAAATGAAACTGCTTGACCCTTATTAAACCTTTTCAGATTTAACATTTTGATCTCCAAGTTCTCGACTGAACAAAAGCCTGTCCTTACCTGTGTAAAAAAATTCAAATGTGCAGAAAATGTTGTCGTACTTCCTGCAGCAAGAGAGCTTTCATGCGGCAATTAACCATTGAATAATTGATGACCTCAAATAAGGTACTGGTTAGCTTAGTGAGCTGTATGTCGAGCATATGGCTCAAACAATGGCGTGCACGAGAGGGAGAGCGAGCACGCGCGTGCACGTGAGAGGGAGAGCGAGCA